GGAGGAGCTCGAGGCGTTTGATGTCATTGTCGATGCGTATGGGTCGCAGGGTCTGTGGTATGCGGCGGAACGGTGGTTGAAGCCTGGCCCCGGGCATGTGTATGTCTCCGTTGGGCCGGCGTTGGAGGCGTATACCTTCCGCAGTGCGGTGGGGGTGTTGGTTAAGCAGATGTTGAATCGGCTCTTGCCGGTGTGGCTGGGTGGGATAGACAGACAATATTGGCAGGTTACGGCTTGGGTGGATGCGAAGAGGTTGGAGAGGCTGAGGGTGTTGGCTGAGGAGGGGGTCTTGAAGACGTGGATTGGCGGTGTTTGGGGGTTCGAGAATGCGATTGAGGTGAGTGGCCCAGGTATTCGTGGTCAAGGTTGCTGGCTGATGTGGTTGCTAGGCATATGAGGTCTTATTGAGTAAGCATGCGAAGGGCAAATTGGTCATTCGTGTTCAGGATGAGGTACTGTCTAGGACTGGAGATTGAGGGGGTTCTATTTCTAATATACATTCTTTGGTCGCATTGCGAAGGCATTGGTCCTTGAAGGAGCTGCTGAATGAGCACGAGTAAAACCAGAAAACCAGGACTTGTTGTTGAGAATATTGTTTCAGGAAGAGTTGTACCAGGCTTAAGGAAGGGCAAGGGGAGCATGAACGTCTGACTTCATTTTACATTCACAAATGATACCCATCCATCATGACAATTACAAGAAACAGTCCCATTTACGCACAATGTTACGGAAACCGATCTCCAGGCCTCAAGATCAGCCTATGCAGATACTACCAAGGCTAATTATTGCTCCATGTCACTAGAGATCAATCTTCCCAACATACGTGAGGTTGATGCGGCTGTCTAATGGTTCTCTAACTATAGCCTGATGCTGACACGATCGCCGAGCCCTGCATAAACACCTGCAATGCAGCAATCCAGAAAAAAAATATAGGAGCATGTCGTACAGAGTATGCATTGGCCAAAACTCTCCTTGGAGAGTCATTTTTCGCAATCCTTCAATGCCGAGTGGTTGTTTTCAAAATCTCCACGTGCAAGGTGATGTTGCACGAGAATACGAGGCAGGGATCCGGCGCATGGGCACTTCATGCTGCTCAACCATCGATGCTACTACATCATGACACTATGAGCTTCTTGACATGCGGTTGGAATGCTTACAAGCATTACCTGAAGTCGAAGTCGCCGCGGTCATCCACGACACTCTACAATGCCCAACACAGCATCGCCCTAATTCCCTGGGCGTCAGGATTCGAGCCCCTCAGGGTTATCCATGTCAAGTAACGTCTGACTCAATGACTTGATGACTTTGGATTCAGGTCATCATGGGTAGACAGGATCATCCTTAGATCAGTAGTGAAGCACAACTGCCTGCATCTGGCATTGGTGCAAGTTATTTTCGAGACTCTTGCTGGTTCTTGTTTGTGGCACCGCACACGGCAGCTGGCCCGACTCCGCGGGGATCGAGATGCCAATTAGACCGGAGAATTATTTCATTGGTGTTCATTCGAATAAGCTGGTGAGATATGAAGTAGAATATGCAGATTGGTGGTACTTTGATCCACTGTACATTTAAGTAATGGTGTGAGTATTCCGATTATCAAACTTCGACTGCAGTCTCCTCGCTCAAAGAAGACTTACGATGCGAAGATGGAGACCGATGAACTTCTGAATGATCTCATTACGCCTGTTGCACACCCGCAGAGACTTACTGCGCTCTAGAGGAAGGTCATCGTCGTTTTCATGATAACCGAGAACGCGAAGCTGTGCATCCCTGTTCATCTCCTCCAGAGTAGCGCCATATCAAGTCAGAACCAAGCCAGTGACTCAGACCAAAATCCTTCAGACTTGCTTCCCGGGTCTACATTGCTCTTGACGAGGCCAAGTTAGCTACGTCGTGAGGAGATCACTCAACAAAGGAAGCCTAATTCATCCCTGCCAGACGGAAAGGTATGGCTCAAGCTGGCAGCCACACAGTCAGCCAGACACATTCTTCCTGTGGTTAACTCTATCGCTTCGTATAGCAACAAGTCTCCGCGTGATGGGCATCAACAGATACGTAAAACGTCAGCCTTTTTTTCATCATTGGTTGGCTTTGGGCCTTCTATTCTCTGCAATGCGAGAATGCGGTCTTTTTGAATTGTCAGGCTCATTCTCCGTCTCGAATGTCCGTTCTTGTGGAACAATGAGTGCAATTCTCAGGGCTATTGTCGATGTGCGAAATGTGATGACAACAACCAGAGGGGCACAATGGAAAGGAGTAAGGTATAAGTAGTGCCATTTTACCCTGGAATCCTCACTCATCAAGCAATGCTTACATACCTACAGTTCTACTCACCCTATATCCTCCTCTCTCTCATCACCATCCCACTTGAACCCAGGCCCATCTCATTCACTCCTCAACTGAAGCCCCCGAGACATCAATATGCAACTCACCCCTCTTACCATTGCCACCCTCCTAACCACCGCAGGCGCAGTCGCCATCTACAAACCCGCCGCCGGCGACCGAGTCGACGTCTTCAAGGACTGGCAAGTCTGCTACAATGCCGTCAAGTAGGTAGCCCGCATCACCACCAATCCCTTCACTCCGCCCGCAACTGTCACCTGATTAAAAAATACTCTCCAGCACTGACCCCCAGCAATTCTGCCTCTACCTCACCAACTTCGTCGAATACCTTCCGCAGATCCTCGATCTGCTCAACCACCAGCCGGTGCAGCGGGGCGCGGGCTGCGTGACGATTCCTGGGAAATGTTATCCGGGACTGCGGACGACAAGGTACGTAACCCCACACCCCTGGTACTATCCAGACTTTGTTGGGATAATGGGTTCTAACAGCGTGGATCAGTCCCTATCGCGTGCGGGCGGCGGAGTGCGCGGATCCGAATACGATCTACGCCGAGTCCGGGGATTTCTGGCCGTCTCAGTCCAAGTGCCCAGCGACGACTCTTACTAGGGTTGTCAGGGAGTAAACGGAAGTGGAAGTCTGGAGGTGGTATTCAACGTACCTATGTTTTGATGTTTTGGGGTTTCATGCATTTGTCTTTGGATGGTGGGTGGAAAGATGATGGGCTCGACGTGGGGGGAGCGGATCTCAACAACGCCGGTCAAGGGCCACCAGAGGTTGGATTGATCGGACGTAAGAATTGCTGTATGGATGCAATTACATGGTTGTGAAGTGTACCGGTCGTCCTTGGCTACTCTTGATCATAGACTTTAGAGCGGAATGCATCGTACCCGTAGTCAGGGAGGTGGGACCGTGAAATAGTTCGAGGAAAGTCTAGCGATGGCACGTTCTGTGCACGAGGGCCGTCGGGTTCAGGCCTTTATGCTGAGCAGAGAATTCGTACGTATGTCGGCCTCAGCCTGTTAACCATTATACTGTAGCTCTCGAATAGCTGCGCGATTGATTTTGATTGTCTCTGAGATAGAGCTCCATGGGGATGTGATTGGTGTAACTGCTGCAAATTCAGTCGCAGGCCGCAGCAGCCCTCGCATGCATCAATTCAATTTTTGGCTGTCCGATGCAGGAACGGCTGCATGATCATATACTGTGCATTCCTGCGGCATTAAGACAACACCTCCGCATCAGAAACCACGGACGACCTAGCCGCTTATCCCTGACCAGAAAATTCCAACGGGACCCATTCTGTGAACGAGTATCCAGTGCATGTCAAAAAATCGAGATTCTATTGTTCATGTCCGAAGATGCAACTATACAGACAAATGCCGGAAACCCATCACAATGAAGAAAAGAAAAGAAAAGAAAAGAGATCCCCGAGCAGTGCCGGGCCAGAACAGGGGCCGCGATTGTATCGCCGCCCGGCCTGGAAAGTGGACACCGACCGTGGCTGACCCCCGGGGTGTGATGCAGAGGACCTCGCGTAGACAAATAAAAGTGGTATCCTAAAGTCGAATTTTGCTGAAACTAACGCGCGCGCGAGACTGATGACTTCAATTGCGTATTCATATGTTGTCCCTGTTTATAGGGAGGTGTTGGGCTCGGCCTCCTCGTCCTCGACTTCCCAATCGCCGATGATCTCGGTGGTGTTACGCTTGCGCATGGTGGAGATCCATTGGGCCTTTAAGTGATGAAATCCTTCGGTTAGTCCATGGTCTTTGACGGAAGTGAGTTGATGAGGAAAGTTGGAAGGAGTAAACTCACCTCGTAGGATGTGAACTCGCCGTTGACGCACTTGCCGGGCTGCAGGGCGTATCCTTCACCGGCACACTTGGCGGACTTGTAGGCAGTCAACACCAGGTCACCCGGAGTGGCCTTGATCGACTTCCACTTGGAGCTGGCGAGAGTGCCGCACTCTTCTAGGTTAGTACCATCGGTGGAGGAGCCATCGGCGTCGCCTTTGCAGTCCTTCTCGGTGTATCCCTTGATCTCGTAGGCTTGAATGGAAAGGCTGAGGGCCAGGGCGACAAGGAGAGATTTGAGCTGCATGTTTGGATGATGAGGATGAAGATGAGCAGAAGAAAATCGGTCAGTGATCGAATGGGTGGATTGTTGGAGGTGAGAGAATGATGGGGATTTGAGTATGGCGAAGGGAGGAGACAGAGCGGGCGGTCGGTCGGTGGTGGTCTTGGGTTTCAGGAGAGAAAAGAGGAAAGAACTTCTAGCCTCAACAAACAGGCTTCCAGGCTTCAAGGCTTCAGGGGTGGGTCAGGCACACCCGATTGTATTTGTTGCTATTTGTCCATCCCCTCAGCGCCGCTGGGGCGAACCATTCCTGTTCGGTGAAGGATTGGATTGCAGCGTGCCAAGTTTAGAACCTCTGACGACGACCACTGCAAGTCAGATTCATGTGTTTCATCGTTCTGGAGAACTGTGCAGCACAGCCAAGCAGCTGATTCTCCTTGGCAGGAACACTGCTAGACAGATGTATGAGTATGATGCAATTGACAAGCAATAATCTAATAGTCGAATCGATGGAGCAAGGCATTGTACTGAGTACTGTAGTATTGTGCGCCCCCCCCTAGGTCGCTCCATCCTACTACCGAATGGGGCCGATCGATCAAATGTGGCCACTCGAAAACAACGTCACCCCACGCCCCAGCCTTGACCTGACACCGGGCCGATAGGAAAAGCAGTGCATGCATGCTGAGACAAATGCGACAATCGGCCAGACCTCAGCCTTGAACCTTTTACTTTCGTTCCTGCAGCTGGACTCGGTCAATTGGAAGAATATAAGGAGGATTGGTCACGTGTGCACTTCTCTGTGTGGTCACGTGAGTGACCTTGACACCGCACAGCACAAGCTGACTAAGTCAACTCATAATCGGTGGTGGACAATCATAACCTAGGTAGTTACTTTCTCCCCTTCAACTTAGCACCTTCAAGCTACGGGCCAGATTTGCCTTTTTCGATAGGTCTCCTATCGTTCGATCTATAAGCAGTTTATCTTCCATGAATTACTTTGAACTGGCCCGAAAAATTGCCTTTCCCGGGATAAATATGGCTGGCAAGCACGATGATATAGGTATCTCGAGGCCTCAACCTTCGGAGAGCTGGCTGGCTGCCGCGATCACGTTTGCAACTCCAAAAAACGCTCTATACTTCACCTGAAGTCAAAAATGAGTACTAAATCGAGATAATTCAATGTTTCTCGTCCGAAATCTACAAATCAATCAAAGAGGATGATCGTTCGAATGCTGGATGGTCTTGTAAATATCCGAGGCATAGTCAGGACACCGAGAAGCATTTTGTTTCACCGCAGCTCATTTCATCTACTTAGCACCCCGACTACTGTTCGATCCGATGGCCATTGTCAGCACCGGCAGGATTCGAAGTTGCGGTAGCAGTTTTCCCCGCCTGGACGTCTTCGTGGCCCTTCTCGACCGGTGTCTCGGAAGTAGCCTCTTCCTCATCTCGCGCATCAAGATGTACGTTACGCAGGAAGAACATCACAATCAGCATCGGAGCCAAAGCCGCCAGAGCAGCAATTGCCAAAAGGCGCTGCGACTCCCGATAGCTGCGGTCAATAGCATCACGAGCAGCCGTGCCAGGTTGATATTTCTTCGCCACGACAATAGAGCTGAAGATGGTGTGCGCCTGGGGTTTGAGCGCATCGGGAAGATATTGCTCCAGCTTCTTGGGGAGGGTGCTTCGCCAGATGGCGCCAGCCACACTAATTGATACACTGGTCAGAATACGCCGATCGCACAAGTACAGGCGGGACACTTACCTAGTTCCAATGGCTCCTCCTACGCTCATAGAAGCAAAGAATACTGCCGTCACGACGGAGACTTCCTGTCTGGACACGACGGCTTGGACGGAGACCTGAGCTGCGGTCTGGTAGAAGCCACGCCCGATTCCGATCAGCGATTTGGCCGTGACAAAGGCCGCCTCGCTTCCTGTTTTGCCATTGCCCATATCTACGAGGTAAAGAACAATGCCCATGCCGAGCACACAGAGGGGGACGCCCCCAAGAACCCAAATTTGCGAACGACGAGTATATTTCATGAAGAGCGAGGCGAATATCCCTGCCACTTGAAAAGCTACTCGCAGAGAGTTGCTGCAGTCATCAACATTAGCATTTGGTTCGATTCGAGAGAGTCATGTGTTATAGCATACTCAATCCGGGTGGCATTTCCAGCCTCAAAGTGTCCAGCTACTTGCAGGTAGCTTGTGAAGAACACTGTGAAGACGGAGTAGTGGAAAAAGTCCAGGGCGCCCAGCAGGCAAGCAGCGGCCACGGTGCGGTTGCGGATCATCCGGTATGGGACAAATGGCTTCTTCGCGAACCAGGCATCCCACGCCAGGAAGGCAATTACGAACACCACGCCCATGACAAGCATGGCAATGAAAGAGCCGTTGTGTTGCCAGGCACCACTATTGCCCGAACCAGTCAGGGACAGTGGGATCAAGAACAGCGACAGCCCCAATAGGAGTAGCACGGCCCCCGGTAGATCCAGTTGAATCCACAGAAGATCATAGACCCGACGCCACCAAGGATCCTCACTTTTCCACCCCAAAGCCGTACTGATGCGGACTCGTCGAGGGGCACGGTGCTGGTAAAGCACCATGCTTCCGACCAAGGGTGCTGCAGCAACGGGCAGCACAATTGCCCACATACCCCATCCCCAGCGCCACGTCGAGTGGTCGAGAATGTCTTGCGCAACGATCGTGCCTAGGTATAATGTCGGGATAGTTGTCAGGGAGTCGGGCAGTGTCGACCAGATACCTCGATTGACCAAGTTCGTTACGTCGGCGACGAATACTTGCTGGGTAAGGGCATAACCTGTTGAACCGATGGCTTCGAAGATTCCGGCGGCCTGCTCGTTCAGAGGAAGGGTCAGGTATGCTTATAATGCTAATAGAGGAGAGCATACCATATACTGCGAGATGTTCTTGCAGCATGCATAGATGACATAGCCGAGTACCTGGGCGATGATTGAGAGGATGAACATTTCAGCTCGGCCAAAGACCTGGAATTGTTGTCAGCATGGAGATTGAAGAGGTACAAAGCTTTCGTACATCGCCCAGTTTAGCAATGATCGGATATGAAGCAATGCGGGTGATGTTCATAACCACACGCGCAGCACTCATGGCCGAGTGCTGCTTGAAGGCGCTCGTCGTGTATGCAGTGTAAACCTGGGTGGAATAGTCGGCAAAGTTGACGGCAAAAGTGGCCAGGAACAGGCTACTACAGTCAGGCATGATCAGAACATTGCGAAGTCCGACACCTACCCAACGAAAGCAATGATCAAGCCTGTCTTGGACCAGATCCTCCGCAACTGCTCTGCTCTCTGGACACCAGCCTGAAGGCTCTCCGAGTCCGCCTGAGGGTTCTGCTCATGCTTGGTACTTTCCACTGAATGCTGAGTTGTGATCTCGGCCATGTTGGTTGAGGCGGGAGCAAACGACTCTTTTGTCTCTACGGACAAACTCATGGCGCTGCTCATCGTAGGTCTGCTTTTTTGCTTGCCCGACAGCAGTCCTTCGACCGAAGGGAGTCGGCGCAAGAAATAAGAATTTCGACCGCATGCCCAGCGGTGGCGTTTATTAGCATCAGGCGACGCCGAGCTTTTTTTTCGTGCATAGGTCCGGCTTCTAGCACTGACTCATGCAGCCATAATTCCTGATGCCTCCACTGGCAATTCGTATAGGTCGTTCGATTGTGTACAGCGGCTTCGGAGATCTAATCTAATCTGGCGATGCCACGCGAGATGTCGGACGACCCCCGTGAGAGTTGGTCATTCCAACTCCGCAGACCCCGTTTTCTTGCCTGGACCTTCTCTGACTGGCCTGAGGGAAGTTCAATTCCGGATCAGATAATGGATGCCAAGGGCGCCAAGCGGAGCCAAGACCGTCCGCTGAAGGCAAAACGAAGCATCCGTCGGAAGCAGCGTGGGGGTGCACAATCAATCTGCTTCCGATCCGGCACCGAACATTTTCCGTCCCATTTGTGTGTCATAAAGGTATCCTTGTGTCTTTCTTGTGACTGTGACCATAGTTGACACCGCGACAACATGACTCAATGGACCTTTGCCCGATCCGATAACGGCGGAGTCCCGAATGTGGCAGCATGGACTGTTTCCAACGCACAGGGATCATCTTATCAGATCCAGCTTGCGTGGCCGCTGAGCTGGAACACTTTACAGGTCTTGGCCAAGGTCAATCTTGTGTACGTCTGCCAGCACATCTTGCGCCGAGGTTGAAAAGTTTGGCGACTCACATGAGCTAGTTACCTTGTTGACGGAAACGCCGTCTTCGGAACTGCATTGGATGCTGTTCGTCGCCATCGGCCTGTTTCACCCGATGAGCCGGGGACTATCGTCGTCGCGATTGGCTATCCCTTGACCGACAGGGTTTATGATCCTCGCCGTACGGTGGACTTGACTCCACCGTGCGAGAGTTATGTTCCCCCAAAAGGGCCCAATGGCGAGCCCCGTCCTGAACCACATGGCGGGGCGGACCAATTTCTGTCCTTCATCAAGAGGATTGTTGAGCCATTCATATTGTCTTCGGTTTTTCCTTCCGTCACACCCGTCAAGACTGCCCTGTTCGGCCATTCGTACGGGGGCTTGTTCGCGTTGCATGTCCTGTTCACGCGACCGGAGAGTTTTGACACTTTCTTAGTGGCGAGTCCGTCAATCTGGTGGAATGACCGGTTCATATTGACGGAAGAGGACCAACTCTATGATAGCCCTGCATTTCGATCTCTCCCCAGGGTGCGCCTCTCTTATGGATCTCAGGAACAGTTTCCGGCCCGTCGTCGAGGAGAATCGCAGGATGTGTACGAAAGACGGAAGAAAGGTGCTGCCCAGCGTCGTATGACAGACAACTGCGATGAGCTGTACCAACGACTGACCTGTAGTGGCCGGGTGATGTGTGAGAAGAGGGCATATGTCGACGAAGATCATGGAAGTGTCATTGCACCTGCGTTGAGTGGGGGGATTTTGTTCTTTTTGGATTCAGTTCCAATGGGACCTTGATACCACCTGAGCCAATTTGGTCCATTTTGAGGAAAAGAGAGTTGATCTGGTTGTTGTGGTTTTGGCGAGAGAGAGAGAGCTCTGGGAACTCATCGTATAAGTCCGATATATATCCCCAACAGAATCTTCTGCACACGGCCCACAAAAGCCACCATGTCCCTACTCGGACTATCTACCATCCTCACAGTTCCCATATTTGTCCTGTATACATATCTCTCTATATGGCATGCTTTTCGCCCCGAGGAGATGCCCGGGGTGATGACTAATTCGGCGGCGAAGGCACGGACGGAACTCCGCCCGTCGGCGGGGTCATTTATCGCTACCTTAACGATCCCAACTACATCCTTCGTTCATGCATAAAAGAACAGGTCTCATCTGAGAACCACACGGATAGATCGGTGATGCAAGCTCTATTGGTGCTAGATGACTGCTGAAATTTGATCTCAAATATCACGTCATTGATTAGAATGGATCCATCACCTCTGGCCCGACGTCGAGACCGTCGGGCTGCCCCCCGCAGCCGGACCACCACAGCATGCGCTCGCTGCCAAAAACGAAAGATTCGGGTAAGTCCCTTCTGCACGATTGATGTCATCGAATGCTGGTCTTTTCACCTGACTCAGGCATTAATGGATTTCAGTGCGATGGGGTTGTTCCTGTCTGTGGCGGTTGCCAACGGGCCCGTGTGGACTGCATTGAGGGGTGGAATGTCCGGGACATCTCCCGTAGGTAAGCTAGTCTTGCACTGTAACTACCTAGTTTCCGCTGAAGTTCTCATTGACATCTAAATACAGTCATGTGGCAGAGCTAGAAATACGCATTGAATGGCTGGAGTCAATCATACAGGAGCACTTGCCACATATTGACCTCAGCAAGTTTGACTCTGGTCACTTGAATCATCCTCGGAGCTCTGAATACGGAGTGTCTACAAGTTCTGCTACTTTCCAGACCCCTGTTCCGCAGACTGCGCATACTAGAGATGGCTGGAACCCAGCTCGTGACGTAACGGATCAACTAGGTTTGGTATCGGTCAATGCTTGGGCAGATCTGCGCTATCTAGGGCCCTCTAGTGGGCTGTTCTTCACGAGATTTGTGCTGACAGGCCTAGAGCGGCGAGCTGAGATAGCACGAGAATCACCCCCTGCTTCGAAGAACGATCAATTCGTCCCTGCGGAGCTTCTCGATATCCAACCGAAAGATCTGCCATCGGACTTAAAACAGGCGCATTGGTTGACGCAGGCATATTTTCAGGCGGTCCATTTACAGTTCCCGTTTCTTCACAGATCCACTCACCTGGAACTTCTTCAGAAGGCCTACAGCGGCGTGGATGTCACACCTATTGATCATTTTCAGATTTTCATGGTTTTGGCTATCGGTGCCACCATTCGATCTCGCCAAGCAAAAGTGCTACTTTCAGCTGAAGGCTACTGCGCCTCTGCAATTCTCCATTTGGATGCCGTTTTTCATAAATCTTCCCTGCGCGGTGTGCAGAGCATGCTGCTTCTACAAATGTACACGATCAACAATCCAACCTCAGGGATCAGCCTTTGGACCCTCCATTATAACTCCCTGGCCGCCGTAATGGAGCTTGGACTGCATCGCAATGTTCAGGGCTCTGCCTTCACCGAGTTCGATCAGGAGATGCGCACCAGGGCTTTCTGGTGCGTCTATATGATGGACCGCTACTTGAGCACCTTGCTCGGCAGGTCGATAGGTTTAATAGACGAGCAATGCGACTTGAGGGTACCTCTCCCGTACCGTACATCTCTATTGATGAAGAAGGCACTGAACGTTACAGTTACCGCGAGAAATCAACGATGAAGACCTGAAGCCCAACCAAGAGATACCGGCTCCAGCCACTGGAGCTATAACCGATATGTCTAGCGCAATCCATCTCTTTAAGCTTGCCCGGTTCAACGCTGAGATCAAATGTGTGCTATATTGTGTCGACCGAAATTATCCCCCATACACGCAGCCTGCTATAACGGACGTCAAGGAATGGCAGGAAGATATGCTGAACCGTCTGCGCCAGTGGAAGTCGTCCATCCCGTGCCATCCGCCAGATAGCCCCGCATGCTATCTGAATGACCTGCTAGAAATTAAGTACTACGAGCTCGTGATGCTGGTCGTACGCCCGAGTCCGCTCTTCAATCATCCCTCCAGAAGCCTGATTCGGCAGTGCTTCCATTGCGCCTTGGAATGTATTCGGCTCTACCATAAGCTTTACGTCAATAGTATGCTGCACTATAACTGGATGAATGTACAGTCGTTGTTTCTATGCGTGGTGACGATATTCTATTGCGTCTGGGCACCGGACGGGGTGGGTGACGAAACCGACCTTGATACTGTTTTACACGCACTGAAGTCCGCGTCCGACATTCTCAGCGCCACCGGAGAGTACTGGCTCGAAGCCAAACGAAGCCGCGATGTGTTGGATGGCATCACAAGGGCTACGGTACGGCGGTTCGCGCTGAGTCTTGCGCGCGCGGGCCAGTCCTCGCCATCACATCCAGGGGGCGACATCCATCGCAGCCCTGGTGATCAAAGGATAGCTGGATTGAATAGCTTGGATACTGGAGCGTATGCCGCTGGTATCGGACAGGCCGAACAGATCTTACTTGATCCGTACTATGTCCCAACGCAGCAGCCCGCTGCCACATCCGAGCTCCTGTCGTTCTTTGCGGGGCTCCAGTCCGACACGACTTTGGACTGGTGGAACCTTCCGTGGGATCTACCGGGCGGGATGGGAGATATGATGCAGAATATGGTCTCTGGAGGCCAGTAGCTTGATATCTTTGCCAAGGGCCATGGATATCTGAAACTGTGAGTGCGGATCATCGAGCGGTGTACGCCCGGATATCTGGACCTAGAGACCCCAGGGGGGAGGTGGAATCCTAGCTGAACGATTTGCTGGGGACTTATTCGAGACAGCACATAACAAGTTAAGCAATACAAACTGAGAAGCATTTATCTATGACAGGGAGCCGGAAGCGATGGTTGCGGATGTAGCTCCGCGATGGTGCCCGCATACCCCGCACCATTAGTCTGCTCATACTCATATAAGTATCTTGTCTTTTCAACCTCTTTGCCCTGGTAGCCATCTTCCTCACCCACAACATACATACACCCTTACACATCGAAACGAACTCACATATGTACAATGCCCCTGTACGAGATTGAGCACAGCATTCCCCTCGACAAGCCCCAGCGCGATGCCCTCGCTCAGGCCATTACCCACATCCACACCCGCCAGTTCACCACCCCGACCCTGTTCGTGAACATCAAGTTCGTGGACGCCCGAACCCAGCACAACTATGTCGCGGGGAGGGAGGTTCGTAGTCGCACCTCACTATCCTTTCTCCTTACGTGAAAGCAAGGCCAGCCTGACAGTACGATGAAACCTCGAATAGAGAAGCATCAACCGCATCATCGCCTACGTCCGCACCGGCGGTTCCCGCACCCACGCCGACTTCGAAGAGACCTCGCTGCGCATTGCCCAAGCATGGGATCAGATTGTGAATGCAGGCGGAAAATTCGGGAAGGAGCGGGAGTTGAGCCGGGTGTTTGTGATGGGGGCGATTGTTGCGGGGCTGGAGCATGGGGTGTTGTTGCCTAGGGCAAGTCTATCTTTCTTTGTGTTATTGCATCGCGGGCACCACTACTAACTCAGATTATGAATTTTAGGCGGGTGAAGATGGGAAATGGCTGGCACAAAACACGGAGAGGTTTCAAGAGCTGGCGGAGCAAGGGGATGAGGATTTTCGGGAGTTGGTGGAGGAGATCAAGGGGCGGGAGGATTTGAGGAGGTAGACTTTAAGTTACAGTGCATGATTCGGTGCCTTTGGGAGGGGTCCCGCCTGGCCGTGCCCTAAGACGGGGCTGCGATCGCAGCGGCTCGTGTGTCCGCTTGGGCTTGTTTTTTTGTCCTAGTTCAAATTGATTTTGATCATTACAGCCCGATACCATTAGCTTGGTACTCCTCACCTATAATACACCAGACAGATACTGACCCTATCTCACTCAGAATTAATACTTTGAGGCTTATTTAGTGACTCGGATAGGATTATTAATCATTGCATATGTCTATCATGAAAAAGTCCTCATCTGAGCGATTTTTAGTCCCTGAGGATAAAGGCATCTGTACGAGGCTGTTCTCTATGAGGAGCAAATGTGATAAAGAAGTTCCGCTGATGGATGGCCCCTTAATGCTCATTGACAAGCACGTACCGATACCGGGCCTTGCCAGCGTCCATGTCCTGAATGGCCTGGTTGGCCTCCTTCATCGGCACCTCCTCGACCCACGACCGTACATTCTTGCTCGCGGCGAGCTCCAGCATCTCCCGAATCTCCCCGGGTCCCGCCATCAGTGAGCCCGCGACTTTCAGGCGGCGGAAGACAAGAGCTTCCGCGGGGATGGGCAGGGTGCCGTCCTCGGGCACACCGAGCTGATGGAAGCAGCCGTCGGTTTTCAGCAGAGAGAGGTAATCACGAAGAGGCATCTACCACTCGATTAGCATCGCTGCGAAGAGTACAGGACAAAGCAGTATATACCTTGGAAGATGAAACGGTAGAAATAATCAGATCCAACGACCGTGCATTCTTCTTCGCCCAGTCCGGATCCTCCGCAGTGGCAATATAGACATCCGCCCCCAGCGCCAAAGCGTCCTCCCTCTTATCCCCGCGCCTCGAGATGGCAACGACCTTCTCTGCACCCAGCGCTTTGGCAAACTGAATCGCATAGTGCCCTATGCCCCCGACCCCAATCACAGCCACCTTCTTCCCCGGTCCGCACCCATTCTGCCTCAGCGGGGCGTAGGCCGTGATCCCAGCGCAGAGCATTGGCGCCGCGAGCGCCGACGGGATCGCGTCGGGGATCTTGACCACGAAATGCGAGTGCGCGCGGTGGTAGAGGGCGTAGCCGCCGTAGGATTTGGCCCCGTTCCAGTGCCGCGCGTTGTAGGTTAGCCCCAGCAGGCGCGGGCAGTAGGTCTCCCGGCCGGACGAGCACTCCTCGCAGGGCCCGTCGCGGTTCAGGCAGGCGTCGTTCTGGGCGCCGACGCCCACGCGGTCGCCGACTTGGATATTGTTCTCAGCCTGCGAGCCGACGCGCACAGCAATGCCGACGATCTCGTGGCCCGCGCAGCAGGGGTACATGGCTGGGCCCTGTAGCGGACGTTCAGTTGGATATGGTCGACGAGGTCGGGGGCTTGGAGGCTGAAAGACTTACCCAGCCACTGCGGAGAGTGTGCAGGTCGGTTCCGCAGATTCCGCAGTGGGTGATTTTGATGTCGACGTCGGTCTCTTCCCAGGGTTTGGGTTCGAACTCTTGCCAGACCATCTTGCCCTCACTCGCTTCGGGGCCGAGGCCCATCCAGCCTTCAAATTTGTACTCGGTCGTCATGGTGTTGGTTGAGAGTTTTGGTGTGTCGGGGCGATTAGGGCTCTGAACGGAGAAGCTGGGCTTGGAATCCAGGAGCATCATTCTTCGCCCGGATCAGTGTACGCTTTATAGCCCAGGTTTGAAGAGGCCACAACCTGCTCGGTCGCGATATCGGACTGGTTTCTGCAACACAGTGCTCATATCTGACGCTATCGCGTTAGTTTGGCTCGGATAAGACCGTCTCCGAGTGAATACGATCCCGCGGAGTGTTCCCCGTCGCTCTAGCGGATGCCGCTCCGTGAGGCAATACGGGGACCACGACTAATCATGATATTGATATCTCCGTACAATCGACCATCTCGGAAAGATTATGAGCGATGACAAAAGGGTCAGCTTGTGGAACCTTCGAAAGCCCTCCAATCATGTCCACATGCATTTAAAACGCCCGTGGCTTGAATGCGGCTAGCTATAAAGCTCTCCCGTCGTAGTCCAAGTTCGATCCCAGCCCCAAGTTCTTCCTCCTTCGTCAATCACCCTTGAGAAATCACACAGAGCCCCTTAATCATGTCTCCTCTAACCGCACTACGAGCCGACCTCTATGCCGCTCCCTCCATCCCCACCAATGCAACCTTACCCGATGGCTCGATTGGATACTGGCAACCGACGGTGGTGACCCTAATCTCCGGACACTCCGAAGCCGTCCTCGTCGACACGCTCTTCACTCACGACCAAGGCGTGTCGCTGGGCGACTGGCTCGACGAGACCCTGAACGGCAAGCGCCTGGCGACGATCTACATCACCCACGGCCACGGCGACCACTTCTTCAACCTGCAATACCTCACCCAGCGCTTCCCGGGGGTAGAGGTGGTCTCCACCCAAGCCTCCATCGACCACATGGCCACGCAGATCACCCCCGAATTCCATGCCTTCTGGAATGACCTCTTCCCCGGCCAAATCGACACCGATTCCTTCCAGATCCTGGCCAAACCACTGGAGAATAACAAGTTCACGTTGGAGGGCCATACCTTGGAAGCCGTGGACGTCGGACACTCGGACACCGACGAGACGACATTCCTCCACATCCCGGACCTGGATATGGTTGTCGCTGGGGATATCGTGTACAACGATGTGCACATGTGGATGACGGAGTCGCCGGAGCAAAGGCAGCGCGATGCCTGGCTGCACTCGTTGCGCGTGCTGGAGCGGTTTGATCCGGCGGTGGTCGTGGCCTCGCACCATCGGCCCGGCGGGGTGGATGGCGCGTGGAATGTGCGTGCCTCGATGGAGTACATCCAGACGTTTAGCCGGTTGGTCCAGGAATCGACCAGTGCGAAGGAACTTTATGATAAGGTTGTGGCGGCGTATCCGGATCGGATTGGGAGGCTGGTTTTGTGGCTGGGGTGCAAGGCCGTCTTTCCCGATATTATCGGGGTGTAAGCTGGGGATGGATGAAAGCAGATTGCGATGCAGCGGAGCTCGGGATGAGATACATGAGGTTCTAGTGGTGAATCTCCCTCTATATCTCTAGATCGCTTAGATATGGTGCACATGTTATCCCTCACTTCACTAGTGCTCATTTGCATATAGTAGGGGCGTGTGCGGAGGGTGTTTCGAAGTTCACATCTTCATATACTCTCCCATAGTCAGTAAAGTAGATAGAGACGACCACCATAGGTCTTACACTTGTGTTTGTATCATAATACAAGTATCTCTGTATAGTAAGTCAAGTGCAGCTGGGCCGATGAAAGATTTAGCATCAATACTTAAAGGTTCTTAGTGTGATTAGGGAAGGAGTACGGCAGTGCTTTCGATTCGTAGTTCTACGTATCGCATCAACTATAGCGCGGGCATAGAAACGTATCCATTGGGACAGTGTGCGAAAGTATGCAAAGTCCAAGAATCCATGGCTCCGCAAATATCTTCAGTATGAATGTGAACTATGCCAGTGGTATCCGTCATTCAAGCCCTTAGTTTGGACGTGAATAGTTGCTAGTCGAGGAAAATTATAGTGCTCAGTAGAAATGTGCTAGTAAATTGTGATAAACCAAGCGGACCGGGATCTATGGAATCCAGTCATACTCTGACGTTTATTTGGCACCTTACTAAGTATGTATGCGAGTGTGTTCTGTACACCGATTGCAATACGTACATCAATAATGGTTCACCAGGCAGGTTCGAGTAGCTTAAATCGGCGGCTGAAAGCCAACTCGGGAGAATTACTATTACTCAGTAGTGAGTAGTGTACCAGTTGTCTAGTGGATTGACCAGTAGACTGGCTAGTAAATTGACTTATTGGTTTGAATTCCCCTAAGATGCACAGCCCCTTCAGGCTGACATTTCCCCGGCGTTCTGGCGGGGAATCCTCGAACGGCGCGCTTTGGCCACCACTAGATAGATGTGCCCACAGGTCAACTTCAACCCCTTCCCTTTTAACAAAAGTTCCTTACACAGAGGCGGAGATATAGTTTGAGTGACGATGACGGAATATACATCGAGGACCGTAATTGCCAACGCCAGGTCGTGTAGACTGCAGCAGCGACACCGAGTGCTCTTTTCTTGCCCTAAGTGCGAGTGGCCGACTGTTTTGCCTTTAGGCCTAAGGGTCCTAGGGCCCTAGGGTCCTGGGTCGGAGTGGGGTCAGAGATCAAGTGCAGCTGGATGGAGGACTTCATTGGTGATGAATGCTAGACCAATACATGTAGTCTACTCCGTAGGTACTGTGGTTAGCCTACCTGTACACAGGCCCAGCTGTGCACGCTCCTAAATAGGTATTGTATGTTGACCGCAGGATCATTCCGGGCGGGGCCCAGCGGGGCCCAGCGGGGCCCGGGTAAGGCATCGCATTTTCCGACAGCCAAGTCGTTTGGCAGACAGTAAGGGGTTAGGGGTCTCATGGGTTCGGCCCGGAGCCTGATCGATATACATCGGAACCTGCTGGTCCAAAACCGCGCAGTCTGGGTGGGTCTTTGCGTGGAGCTGAACACTTGCCTACCCATATTAGTGTACCCAGTAGCCAATCAGTGTAGCCAGCGTTGGGGAGGGGTGGCTCTCGAGGAGACTTGGAGAGCTTGAATGAGACAAAATCTAAGACAGCAAGCAGCAAGTATCAGTCGAGGGATTAACTTGCATTCACCGGTGAGGGAGACTCTTGAGGCACTTCCAACTTACCTTACCCATCGAGAACGAAAGGAAGCGTCATACAAAGCAGTATAAAAGGCTCCATTTTTCCTCTCGGCTGTACTTCTGTGCTATCCTTCCATCGCATCTCACTCTTACCCTCTGTTCAATCTCCCGGACTCTGCTCCATGTTGGTGTCTGAAGCACGCCTTGCTCGTTTTTGTTGTTTCACAATTTTGGGCACCTCCCTTTGCTGGCTCTATGTTGCTTATAAAGGCTTCGATCCTGACGTTAAATTTATTCTCTGGACTATCGTCGGCCCAGCCTTCTACGCCACCTTCGGATGGCAATGGCGTACAGTTGAGTGACGGGCAGCGGCTGCCTGATTACTGGTTTGCCTACGATCTCGATGACGCCGAAGCCTCGGCTGCCCCCGTCCTCGAGGCGGCTTACGAGCAAACCACCAACACGGCCATCAATAAATTGGCCGTCCGTGAGCCCGTCCAGGTCTGTGAAAGCACCCTCTCCCGCATGGCCCAGTGCGCGACTATTGCAGGGGCTGTTTTCAGCTGGAGCGCGGCGATTGCAGGGGCGGCCTGGGCGTGGTCCCAACATAAAGATTGCAGTCTCCACTCTGGCACGATCGACGGCTGGCAGTACGAGTTCCATGCTACCGGGCGCAATTGCGACACCACCGCCCAGCAGAAGACCATCCATGGTGCCATCTATCACTATCTTTCCGCGATCGAGGGCAACACTGTCTGCGGCACACAGTGTCTGTCACTAAAGCATGGAGGCAGCTATGCCGGCTACCTGAAGTTTGGCAAGGTAGGCGTCTTTGATTCCGGCGCCTACTGTGGCCCAACCCTGCATTTCGAAAATTGTGCCTCAGGTGGCGTGAACAGCTTCTAAGGGGGTCCTCTTCCTTGTTCCCCACGTTTTCATTGGAGCTTTAAGAGAGTGATGGCGGTAGAAGGTGGAAGAAAGAGGGGAGGGACTGGAGGTGATTGGTCTTTTGGGGGGCCGGTGTGCTTGAGAAAGACTAAGAGGGGCTGTGGTTGAGATTTGTTTTCAATGGTGAATGGTTCTTGGAGGTCAAATGTGAACATTTAACACTCAGGGTACTCTTTCCTGCTCAAGTCTTTGGGATGTTGAAGTACTTTCCGAGCGGACAGCGAAGGACATGGTAATCGAACTCCAACGTTTTTAAGGTGAACCCCAGTTTGTCATCACTGGGACGTAGACACCCACTGTTCAAACATCGCGACTTGCCTTGAGCATTGAACATAAACTTCATATCTGTGGAGTAACCGGCATATCGATAGCAAGTCCACGATCCCAAAGCGATGACAAAAGTCCTCTCCATAGTGCAAATCTAAAACTGTAGCGTGACGATGTAGTCATGTCGTAATAAGTAACATCGCAAAAGCAGTATATTAGAGCAATTCGTTCCTGAAAGTAAATTCACAAGGCTTCAGTATCGTGGGACACGACATTGAAGATTCTTCCTATCTTCATGCAGCATTGCATGCTTATCAACCCAATCATTGGGTTACATCTCCGATACCAAGGATGACGTGATTCACCACCACCATGGCGCACCAGCAAGCGCAATTGCTATATAATCAACTTGCATAGACTAATATCTCTTCTCTAGAAATCTCTCACCGCACACATCAACATGGCTCCCAGTCCACCCCAGTCCGCCCCCGACGAAGCAGCCAAACAACCCACCGCCCACATCAAAGATGAATCCCACGACGGCGCCCTACAACTCCTCGCTGCCAACAGCAGCACGACCACCCTCGACCCAGAAACCGCGCGACGACTTGTCCGCAAAATCGACCTCTACATCATGCCACTCATCTGCATTGTCTACTTCCTGCAGTACCTCGACAAGATCGCCATCAGCTACGCCAGCGTGACGGGGCTGCGGGAATCGGCCCACCTGCACGGCAACCAGTACAACTGGGTCTCGAGCATCTTCTTCTTCGGGCAGCTGGCGTTCAGCTTCCCAACGGTGCGACTGCTGCAGGCCTTCCCTCTGGCGCGCTACGTCGCCGTCAATGTGGTCCTCTGGGGCGCGATTCTCGCCTGCATGGCGGCGTGCCATTCGTTCGCGGCGCTGATGGTCTGCCGTACGTTTCTGGGGGTGGCTGAGGCAGCGATTGTGCCCGCGTGGGTGGTCTTCACGTCGCAGTGGTATCGCAAGGAGGAGCAGGCCTTCCGGGTCGGGATATGGTTCGCCATGTGCGGGTTCGCGCAGATGTTCGGCGGGTACATCGCGTACGGGATCGCGGTGCATGTCGGGGACAGTGCGGCGCTGCGCGGGTGGCAGATCATCTTCCTGGTGCTGGGCGGGTTCACCATGCTCGTCGGTGCGGTGTTTCTCTTCCTCCTGCCGGATTCGCCCGTCACGGCGCGGTTTCTGTCCCCCGCGGAGAAGGCGCTGCATGCGGAGCGGCTGCGCGGGAACGAGCAGGGCATCGGAAGTACGGTCTTCAAGAAGGCACAGGTCGTCGAGGCGCTGACGGACCCCCTGACCTGGTTGTATGCCTTCTGGGTGTTCGCGGCCAATGTGCCCAATTCGATTGCCACGAGTTTCGGAAATATTCTGGTGACGGGGATGGGGTACTCGTCGCGCCAGAGCTTGTTGCTGGTCACGCCCTTGGGGGCGTATGAGGTTGTGGTGTTGGTTGGGTTGACGTATCTGAGTATGAGGACGGAGCAGAGGCTGTTCTGGTGTATCGTCGGGCACATACCGTCGATTGTGGGGGCGATTCTCATGGCCACAACGGAGAAGACCCCCGCGTTGATCGGGTACTATCTGTCCGGGGGCATCCCCATCGGATGGACGACGATCCTGGGTCTGACCAGTACGAACGTGGCCGGGTCGACCAAGAAGATCACCGTCTCGTGCATCCAGACCGTCGCCTACACGGTGGGCAATATCATCTCCCCGCAGACCTTCCAGGCCAAAGATGCCCCGCGGTATCTCCCCGCCAAGATCTCCATCGTCGTGCTGTATGTTCTGATCACGCTGGATCTGTGTCTCATTCGGTGGGTGTCGGTACGCGAGAACCGAAAGCGAGACGCGGAGAAGGAGGCCGCGGGCGAGGCGTATGTTGTGCAGCAGAATCATGAGTTCATGGACTTGACAGACCGGGAGAACCGCGAGTTCCGATATGCCATCTAGTCTGATATGGCTTGATGTTAGTTTGCCCCGGTACTTAGTCCTGATGGGTCTGGGGTGTGATATGCTAGGATATACTTCGTAATCTCTGTGGACATGGCTATATACGCATCACTAATCTTGCTGTCTCCGTGATTATTCTTTCGCAATCTCTGGCAGGATTATGACTCAGCTATCTCAGCTTCATTGATATTCACTGCCTAACATATCCAAAATCTTATTTCACAGAACGCTCTAGCCCTGGCTCAAATATCCCATGATAGGATTTAAAGTTTCTCTGAAGCTATTCAGGAAATTGGCTGAATAGATTTCCAGACATGAGCTGACGCATCCCGGGTAGACTACCTGTGAATAACTTCAAGATATCAGATCACGTGCATCTAGGGTCACGTCTATATCTTCACATCTACAGTTCAAGACTTCCTTCTTCTTTCCTTCTTTCTTCCTCCTTCTTTCATCCATCACACACCATCTCTCATCTACAACCCCCACTTTCATCCATCTCACATCATCAAACACACTCCCTTATCTACTTTGATCACCATCCGTGACTATGCGTCTTTCTGAACTCCCTGCGGAGGTCCTCCTCAACATCGGAACACAGCTTGGGGACGATGGCCTGAGCCGACTCCTCCGTACCAACCGCTGGTTCCACAATTTCTTCGGGGACGAGATCTACAAGATGCACGTGCAGAGGACCAAGGGCATCGCGCTGCTCTGGGCCGCGGACCGCGGGGACGAGATGCTGGCGCGAAAGTTCCTCGACTGTGGTGCCAACCCTAACGTGGGCTGGGGCCCCCGAGTCCCCGGCCAGGGAGACTGGGCGCTGCGCACCGCCGCGCGCTCCGACCTCTACTGGCGCCCGGATGGCAACCGCACCCACCTGACCCCCCTGACGCTGGCCGCGCAGAAAGGCTACCTGGACGTTGTCAAGCTCCTGCTTGCGTACGGCGCCGACCCAGGCCGCCACAACCGCGAGCATCAGACCGCGTGCCTGGCCGCCATCTCGGCGCTGATCGAAAAAGCCCACGACGGCCGCCAGTACCACAACTCGTGGGACCGGCTGTCCGACTTCAACCAGCCGCGGCGGCCGCTCGACCCGCAGCTGCTCGCCGTCGTCGACTTCCTGATCCATCTGCCCGACGCCATGTACGGCACCCACGGCTACCGCGTGCTGAACCTGGCGCTGCAGTGGCCCGACCAGGACCTGGCCGTCTACATGCTCCGCGACGAGCAGCTGCAGGCCTCGTTCTGTGAGCAGCCCGGCTCGCAGTTCGAGTACCTGCTCCGCAACGCCGCCCTCTTCCACCGCGTCGTCTTCGTCGACCACCTGCTCAACGTGGCCTATGCCAACTTCCACGTCCACGAGTGGGGTCGCCTGGCCCTCATCGCCCGCGACGCGACCCAGGAATACTTTAGCCATGCTATGGGGCACTACTACCTCATGTACAAGTATGTCGCCTTCTTCCTTTTTCTATGCGTCTGGGTTTGTATCTGGGTGTATGTGTCTTGGTGGTGGCTGTGATGGTGAGGGACTTTCGGGAGCATACGACTTGACTAAACTGACTTTCGTTCCCGCCAGCTTTCACCCCGCCAGCGCCGTCTGATTTTGGACCGTGATGGAACAGGAAACCACAACCGCTGGTTAGACTCTCATCTGGATGGTAGGGAAACACAACCTCCGGTTGGACTGTTGCCACCTCGTTGATCGGCATGGTTCTTGGTGTGTCTTTCAGTAAGGAAGGTATGTTACCAAGGATATGCCTTCGAGATGACAACAAGCAGATGGAAGCTGACTCGACCTTGCTCCTGGTCCCTAGGACGAAGGAACTTGAAAACCTTGTATTCCACGGGACGACAGGAAAACACAACCTCGGTTGGACTGTGGTCACCTCATTGACTTGATTCTTAGTTTGTCTTTCAGTCAGTATGGTATGTTCGACAAGTATATCCCCCCGAGATGATGACATGAAGGTATAGCTAACTCAATCTTGCCACTTACTACCAGGACGAAAAACTCGAAAAGCCTTCTATTCCACGGGACGACAGGAAAACACAACCCCGGTTGGACTGTGGTCACCTCATCGTCGAGCTGGTTCTTGCTGCTGGAAGGGATACAAAGATTGCTAAACGTGGTTTTGCTTTGGAATTTGATTGATGTTTTGAGATTCCTGAGATTGATTCATGTTTTTGAGATTCCTGAGATTGGTTTATGTTTTGAAAAATGACTTGAAATGTGTTTATGAATTATGAAAGGGGGTGGAAAATTATCATGTTACCAGAAGGAGTTGTTCCAGAATGTGAATATTAGGGGAATGAAGCTTGTGCTTTGCTACTTGGTGTAGTTCGATACTGCGTATCTAGCTCTTGCGTAAATGGTGCGGGTATAAACAGTTGCTAGTACTAGGCTCGTAAATGGTGTAGGTGGTGCACTGACAATCATAGAGTAGTTGATTCCTACATGTTGGGTATAAAGTAGATTGGTGTAGATGTTGTCTTTATTATTTAAGTACTTGTATGTAGAAGGCAGGGCATGTTCGGTCCAGCATACTGGCAGCTGGCGGTATAAGAGATGCGAACATCGCAGTATTGCTCCAGAAATCGGTTTCCCAGTGCACTGCTTTACCACGCTCTATGTGTTCGTGCATAATCTGTATAATCTCGATACGCATATTGTTATTATCTATTCGGTGTATATTGTCTACAGAATCTATGTTCTTTTCTGTTGCGACAAGTTGCTTACTGCGATGTTGACTGCATCACTGGAGCCATATAATAGTTTGGAAAGCGAGGTAAAGAGCTGAGCGAAGCTGAGCTATTACTCGGGTAACAAGAATGCAGTAAAACTAACATCTGATTTTTGAACACCGATATCCTTGTTGCCATTACAAAAAAATAATGTGATTTTAGGTGAACAGCCGAATACTGGCCTGGACTACATGCATTTGCAAGCGCAAGAGAAAACAACAAGAAATCAAAAATCGAGTGAAGAAGAAGCAGAAGTATTGCAGCTGTTTGCTGTTGGATATAGGCCCAGACTTGATAGTGGGCTCATTAGATGCAAGGAGAAAGGCAGGGCAAGGTGCGCAGCCGAAGCCGCTCTAATGCAATCCCGACACGTCCCCCTTGCCCACCTTTCTCAACTCCGAAGCAGCAGCACCACAACCTACAATCTACCACGTGTCATCGTTTACACACAGAACGACAATAAATTCAACAGCAGAAGCGAACATGAACCACCACCCACGAATAGTATATACACGCACCCCCCAAAATCACCCCAATCTAACAATCTAAGCAACAGTAACCGTCTGGTTCAAAACCTCCAAGTAAGGGGCCGCGGACGCCTGCATCCCACACCGTCAGCATTTCGATCAGTCCAAACCTATCACCAGAAAAAGAATGCTTACCCCGACCAAAGTGGCATGCGCCACCCCGATGACCGCCTGGCCCGCCGCCGCCGACGCGGGCACTGTGACGGTGAAGTTCTCGTACGGCGGCAGGTAGTATTCGTGGTAGACGGGGTTGAAGGCGCCGTTGTAGAGGATGGTGCCCATGTATTCGTCGGCCGCGTAGCAGTTGCCGCTGGCGCAGGACTGGAAGCCGATGGCAACGGCCATTTCTTGGGAGCCGGTGATGGTGTTCTATCGCTGTTAGGTTTGCGTAACGGGGGGGGAGGGGGTAGAGGGGGGAGGGGAGTAAGGGGAAGAGAAACGTACAGGCCGCTGAACTTGGACGGTGAGGCTCTGCCCTGGCTGGACGGTCTGGCCGGCCTTGGGGAGGCCAATGGCGGCGTTCTGGGCCAGGGCGGTGGCTAGGAAGGTGGCTGCTGCGGCAAAGGTCTTCATTGTGATGGGTGAAGGGATGGAAGAGGGATTAAGATGGGTGGTTGTTGTTGTTTTGGATGGTAAAGGGTTGGATTGCAGCGGCAGCAATGTTGTGGTAGATACGCCCAGCTTTATAGCACTGATCGTGACAGCATCGCTGGGATGCAGAGCCCTGAGATGGCGGCCTGATACCGAAATAGATCAGCTTGAGACATCGGATGGATGCAGATGCGTTGTCATTGGTGGTGTTTGGGAGATGGAGACTAGTGGACGTCGATCAGTGAGCTACTGGACCCTTTGGGGAAGGTGAGATGGATTTCTGGTGGCTGCAGCCCCGCGGGAAGGCATCAGAGGTTAGGGGGCAATGCGGAGGCCTCCCGGTAGTCCCGGAAGGCTTGAGCTTGTTTTCTCGGTTGTATGAACAACTTCTTGGGAGTTGGCTCATGCTGTTAACTACTGACTAACTGGAACTCTGGGTCTAAACTGCAAGTCGAAAGGGTGGGATTCAAGAAGCTATAGAGGGCGTTCTAAGAAATAGCACTAACTAGCTGGTGCAACGCTGTTAACATGAAAAGGGGTCGTCCTTATGTGGATGATGTATAGAGTGGAACAAGTCTATATCTGACACATCACATCACATGACCGGATTGAAGAAGCCGGATTTCCCATGAGTTCAGCAAGGCGGAGTAGCTACTACTAACTAGACAGCTCACAAATGTCTTACAACTTAGCCTGCTATGCGATATACGGTAAATACGAAGGAAACGTCAGCAGACACTTGATCCACTGATATCTGCCTGACGGCATTGGACTCTATATATACCCCGGGCTGTGCTTTGAACTCTACCCGTCTTAAGGCCGCCCACCGCGTCCACGGAACACCTACCAAGCAACCAACCAAGCATTCGCATGCGGAAATACCAAATACCCTCCATCTTCTAGAAGAGGCACACCTCGGACTTTACCCCGCGAGTACCCCATCTGACCCGAGGGAAACCTCCCCCGCTGACTTCATGCTCTCTCTTCTGCTCCGGTCGGGCCGGATTGACATCAACCCGCAGCAGCATGACATCAGGGCACAGCTAAATGCTTGGTCTGCTTACCCCCCTCATTTCACTCGATCACCGTTACACTGGAGATAAAGAAATCAGAGAAGAGTATCCGCTCTTATAATATATAATCATAATCATAGACATATAGTACATCAGATGCAACATATTCACAATCATGTCCAAAAAGAAAAACGTATATACAGTCCGCAAACTGGGTATTCGCAGAGTCACAGCAACAACATGCAAGGAATGTCGCCACAGGCCCCGGGCCTGCAACGCCAATATGTATCGAAAATAAGGAAAAAGAGAAAATGCAACAACGCTAAGTCTAGGTCGAGACGGCTAGCAGAAATGATGATGAGAGGGATTCGCTTATTCGGGGGCCGCGCAAGTGAAGACTCCACGAACACTGCCTGAATTGTAGTTGTTGACCTGGAGAGTAATTAGCAAGGGAAAGTCGAAACTGAAAAGGGCAATGAACTTACAATATCGTCCACACTGGCGTAGGTGCCCGCTCCGAGAGTGATCAGTCCAATCAACAGACAGATCAGGTTGAGAACACCCAGCATCATGTTCTTCGGGGTGAACCAGCTGCCCTCGCGCAGGAGCATGAACCACATGAGCGCGGGGAAGTAGAAGGTGAAGCCGGAGACGAAGAGGGCGGAGCAGATGGACAGCAAGTCGGAGAAGAAGGGGATCACTTCGGCGACAATGAAGGCGACCACGGTGATGGTGGTGATCACGGCCAACCAGGTGATCCAGCCCATCTTGGTGTTGATGAAGCGGATGGGCGAGTTCTTGAAGATGCGACCGTGGACCATACGACCCAGCACCACCGTGTTGATCGAACCACTGATGAAGATGACGGGGAGGGCGACACCGTACGCAACGCGGCTAAGAGTGTGGCCCGCCGAGGTGAGAGCCGGGCTGGCGACGTCCTGGCCAACGAAGGCGTAAATGATCGCACCGGTCAAGGTGTAGATGACAATCTCGATGATACCCAGGGACCAGATCGATTTAATGTAATCCTTGGGAGTGTGCATCTCATCCATAAAGGAGAACTGGCACAGGGCGAAACTGTAGGCGAAGACGATGTTGGTGATGGCAATGAAAGCGTCGGTGAAGCTGATGTCGTCCTTGGGCCAAGCAGACCAGTTGACCGCCGACAATCCCCCAGGCTGGTTGGTGCTCTCAACACCAGTGCCGATCATAGTAATACCGATTGCGACAATAATCGAGATGAAATCGATGTAGCCCAAAATGGCCATCTCAGCGAATGAGGGCGGAATGGCCAAGAGAAGCAGGAGGATGGCGGAGACTACAGCAAACACAATGGAACACACACTGCTCTCGGTGATGTCGATGAAGGCGATAGTACCGGTCAGACAGTGCGAGCCAGTCAGAAAGAGCAACTCCAGACCGAGCATGACGTAGATAATCTCGTAGCCAAAACGACCGAACATCAGGCGGCCGGCGTCGGGGTAGTGTGCAATGTCGGGGAACTTGAGCTTGACTTGACCGATAATGTGACTGGTGTAAATGGCAACAAATCCGAGGCCAACCGTGGTGATGACACCGGCCACCATCCCCAGCGTAGCGAAGGCGGAGGGAATCGACAAACTACCCAGGGCAATGGCCTCGACAATCATCACTACCGTCAGGCGTTTCCAGCCCAGACGGTTGTATTTTTGAATGCCAGCCTCGACAATGTTCCGCTCCGTGTCGCTCATCTTGTCGACCATATCGCCCTCATACTGGGGGGAGTAGAGATCCCCCTTCTTCTCGTTCTCGAAGTCCATCCCGGACTGGGATTTGCGGTCCCCAACGATGTCGTCACCGTAAGCCATGACGAGAATATGCAGAAAATGTCAGACAATCAGAATACAGGCTGAAGGTGGAGAGGGGAAAAGGTGAAGTTGAATTCGACTTTGCCCAGGTCGCACCAAATGCCTGATGGCTGTTGTTGAAGGAAGGGGGGGATGGGGAGGATGGGGAGGAAGGATGGAGAGAGGAAGAAGACGAGAGAAGAGGAAACGAAGGCAGTAGAAAAGTGGCAGGCGAGAGGGAAGCCAAACGGGTTTTGAATAATAATGGGCGGCGACAGCGGGGGGGGGGGAAGGGTCTGGGGGGGCTCCGGGGGGAGGAAGGCTGCAGGACCCGCCCAGGTAGGATTGATAATTATTCCGCCGTGGTTGCGCTGTGTTGCCTTTCGATTCCTCTCTCTTCCTCGAGTCGAAGACATTCCGGGCCAGTACCGCTGACGGTGGACGATCAGGCTTCACCGCAGCCCAAGCACACGGTCGGATGAATCCGGGCAAGAACTGATACAGTGATAATCCGGATCAGGCAACGGGACCAGCAAACCTTGACTAAGAAGATTTGGTGGCGGAAAGAAGAAATTCGGAGACTTTGCCAGATTGGCTCGACTTTTGCCTCCCACGTGGAGCCCAAGCATCCGCCATCCGCTGCAGCAGCCAATCAATCGCAAGGCATACCGTCTAAAATCCTGATTCAGGTTAGGGTGTGTGACGTTGAATTGGAGATGCGGTCGAAAGCGGTCTAGCGCCAACACTGAGCCAAGATTGACTCCAGATGGCCCGATTTGCATTAGGCAATGGCTCTGACTAAGTTATTAAGAGGCGGCGCTGGCTGGCCAGTGAGCAAGCAAGCACTGTAACGCCGAACCTTCCCCAGAATTTGTGTCCTGAAAGGATTGAGGCTAAACCCATTCCTTTGTAGTTTTTTGGAGTCGTCACCTTCGATCGACGCCCTACTTTGCACTATCCATCCACTTCGTGGTGGCACAAGAAGTTTAATTGCAGGACAGGACTGCAGCTTGACACGTCCCCCTGCGAACCACGCAACCCAGCCCATGAGTAGGATGGGGATGAGTAATGGATCTCACATCATGCGGAATTCTTCCCCATTCGCTTGCAGCTTAACCTTTTAACCTCCAGAGCAGGTCTCACACAAATGAGGGGAAGCGCTGATGGTCTCGTATTTTGGGGAAGAGCCGGGGCCGTGTCTCCCGATTCTGTTACTTAATGTTTTGCTACGACGCGCGGGAGAGACGAGACGACAAGACGATCCAAGCCAACCTGCAATTTGGAGCGGTGGCTTATCAGTGAAGGCATTACGCAGAAGTGTTTGCCAATTGATATTCGTTTGGTGGTGCGACCGTGGAGCCTTGAGGCGGGGTCAAGTCGGCCCGGGTCTTTATTTTCCTCCCTCTCCTTCTCCCTCTCCCTCTCCCTCTCGGCATCTGCAGCCCTTTCGCCGAGGCCGGTCTCCAGGCTGGGCTGTTTTCTGGAACGGCCACCAGCGGATCGTCCTTCCATCCTTGCCTGCCAATCGTGCCTCTGCCAATCTAATAACAACTTACCTATGCACTGTAACTACAGGTCGCCTTACTGCGCCCAACCCCGGAGCCGAATCAATGCCGATATTTTACCCAACAAGTCAAAAGATAACACCAACATGATTGACAACTGCTCATCTGTAGATCAACCCCTTACATGCCACCGCGCCAGATCATACTACATACTGCATAACGGATGACCATGTACTCTTATCGAGATTATCGTAATGGAGACTAGTCACCGCGGTAGGCTATCACTTGGCAACAGTCTAATGGCCTGCCCTGCCCGGCACGCTGCCAGCACGGCCGAATGTGCTTTGCATGCTTTGCATACTTTGCATAGTTGGCACACTTTGCATCCCCTCCTTGCTTGAGAGGCTGACGTCACGTGATGAAGACGGAGTTCCGCTTCCTCCAGTTGCCTTGTTGCTGTTGTTGGTGTTCCCCGCTCGGCATTCGGGAGGAAATCCCTTCCAACTCCGTTCACGCAGTAACCATCATCATTGTCAGACAGCAGTGAAGGAGGTATCACACATCCCCCCAAAATGTTTCTACTCAGTTCATTCAGGTCATCAACTTTGTAGACAGTCCGTGTACTGTACCGTACCTCTGGTCTGTCATGGACGGGGATTCCCCTTTATCGATTCCGTATGGCCACGCCTGTAGTACGTGTGCTCGCGCCAAGGTTCGCTGCATCCCTCGGGGTCGAGATTCCCCGTGTGAGAGGTGAGTGGAAGTGGTATTATCTGCAGACAAACGACGGATCAATCCACCGCTAATATATCCCAGATGTCATCGCTTGGGAAAGGAATGTCGTCCTGGATCGCGCCGTCGCCGTCCCAAGCGGCTTTCCAAGGCCGCTCAGCTGGAGCAGAAGATGGATGGGCTAATGTCTTTGCTCCAATCATCCGGACAGCTGCCCGGAGGACCAAGAGGAGACCGGCATCTTCCCGTCTCCGCTGGTAGTCAAGAGGGCGCGGATCGTACCTGTACAGCAAATCCGCTCTGTACTCCCGACACGGGGACGGGGATCGAGTCCGACGGTAGTGTTAGCCCGCGCCACTCTCCGCCCACCGCCATCATCCCGCCCAGCCCAGCGGAAGCCGAGGCAATGCTGCATTCGTTCCGAACGGACAAATTGGCTTGTCTTCCCCTTCTACATATTCCTAGTACGGCTACACCGGCTGACCTGGAGCGTGACTCTCCCTTTCTCTGGCGCTGCATTCTCACCACCGAGACCAAAGATGCCGCGCAGCAGGCCTTGCGCTGCGTCGACATCCGTCAGACCGCGGCCCAGATTACCATGGTCGACTGCGACAAGAATCTGGACCTGTTGCAGGGATTGCTGGTGCATATTGCCTGGATCTCTTTCCAAAGCTATCCTCCAAAATCGATCATGGTCTTGTACTGTCAAATAGCCACCGCGCTCATCTGTGAACTGGGCTTGAATCGTCCGGTCCGGAGTGACCTCGCCATGCTACCCCCCGTATGCAATGACCTCGTGCCACCAGCACCGAAGCAACCTGCACCACGCCCCAGAACCCTGAACGAGCGGCGAGCCGTACTGGGCTGCTTCGTGATCAGCTCAGTGTACGTAAATGCCTTCATGCTCCCATGTGACCTTCTCGTTCTATGTTCGCCACTAGCCTCAGTCGCATGCTAATCTCTTTACACAGGATTGCTCAATTTCTTGGCCGCATGGAGGTGATGCGATGGACGCCTCATATGGCAGAGTCCGTCGAGCTTCTCTCCACCAGCACCGACTCTCCGCACGACGCCACCCTCGCAAATCTTGCACGTGTCCGGCTTCTCGTCGAGCGCATCCGTGAGGGGCCGTGGAACGAGAACTCAAGTTCGAACGGCATCCCGCGTGCACCACTGCCCTTCTACATGAGCAGCTTACAAACCCAGCTCACCCAGCTCCGAGCTGACGTTCCTTCCGCCCTCCTCAACAGTAGTAGTTGGTTTACCTATCCATCCATAGTGTGATTCAATACTCACCTCGGGCAGACCCTCTCATATTCTACATCTTGCAAGCAGAAACTACACTATACGAGACGGCTCTCATCCACCCTAATCCCGAGACTAACGATACCCCCGGTGCTCTCGACTCCTGGCGGCTCGACCACCTCTGCGCATGCCTAACCTCTGTTCGCTCCTTCTTTGACAGCCTTCTTACAACGCCGATCCGCACTTTTGCCTCCTTCCCGATCATCGAAAGCATTCTTGTCGCGCACTGCCTGGTCACTCTCTCGCGTTTGACCTTTGCCGACATCCCCGGCTGGGACACGCGACTGGTCCGCCGCACGGCGGATGCGATCCTCATCGCCGACCAGATCAGCGACATGCTGGAGCAGGTCGTCAGTCTCCGGCGGGACGAGCACGAGAAGGACCCGTTCCATAAGCTGGGCGTCATGGTGCGGCGACTGCGCGCCACATGGGCATCGAGACTCGGGGAGTCCACAACCACCACCTCAGCCGCCGAGGGAGGCTTACTCGACTCGCAGCCGCCGCTCCCGGGTCAGCCGCTCCCTCCAGAATACGGGTACCCCGAGCAGACGCAACTATCGGGCCAGATGCCGGGGACGATGGGGGACCTGTGGGACTTTGATATATTCTTCGCGGGGTCGGACAGCGCGTGGTTGATGGATGCGGTGACGACGGGGGGACTTGGTTGAGGCGAATTGCATGTTTCTTTTTGGGTGTTACGACATAATAATCATCTCCTACTGTACAAAATCCGATAATGACTCAAGTGAAGCCGGACGGTTAATTTGTCTAAATTCTTTATGTATTTTGGTCACACCTATGGATGAACACAATGCGGGGGGGCCGCAGGAGGGATGTGTCGATGCCTCATACGTCAGGCCACTTACCCGTGCTACCCAGAATCTAGACAGGGAGACTCGTGTTTTGTATGGCAGCCTGCACGAGCTGACAGGTTTGACTCAGCAGAATCTTTTTGAACCCATTGGCAGAAGGTGGTAACTTACTGCGTAGGATCACCCACTGATTTTACTCATAGATCGATGGTAGGCAGGCTGATAAGTTTTGGGCTGACGGATCGACCCGCCCATCGGAATATATCCTAATCCCGCACCATCTTTCCAGCTTTCCTTCTCTTTGAGACTTCCAATCATCTCACGATCTTCAAGTCTCGGACACTGAGAACCTGACTCAATACCATGATCTACGTACACTGGTGCCTCCTGGGTACCTAATCATAATGAAGCTAAGCTCCAAGCCAAGCGGCGGTTCACCCCCCTTGACCAATCATACCCCAATCAACCTCCGCAGGGCCTCCACCTGGATCGACAGCCATTGTTGACAATGAACGCCCGCACGTGCAGCCCTGACTCGATGCTCCTCGTCCGGAGTTGCCAGGTGACAATGCATGAGCTTCGTGGGGGCGAATTCTGTGGTTGAGTGCAACAAGATCCTGTTTCCAGATCCTATAAGTACGGCTACAGTCCGCCATCCGGCCGATCCCGCCCGTCCCACGAAGCAAAAGGTTACCTAGTAGGTTTGAATTGAACACCACTGCACCTAGACACAATCATCACCCACGATGTTCGTCCAGTTCGTCTTCCCGTTGTGCATCCTCGCAGGCACTGCCCTGGCCGATGCGACCGTGTATCTCATCCGACACGGCGAGAAGCCCAGCGACGGGAGCACCGGGCTCAGCGCGCAGGGGGTGGAGCGGGCCCAGTGTCTGCGGAACGTCTTCGGGGCCGATTCCAGCTACAACATCCAGTATATCATGGCGGAGACCCCGAAGAGTGGTATGTCTTTCCCTCCTAGCCCCTTTCTTCTCTCATATCCACGGTAAGCGATGGATGTACGATCGTCCCTTTCGCTCACCATCAACAGACGGCAAGCGAGACCGCCCGTATCTGACCGTGCTCCCGCTGGCGGAGGATCTGGGCATCACCGTCGACACCTCGTGTGCCAAAACCGACGCCAAGTGCGTCAAGAAGGTCGTGGAGAACTATACCGGGGACGGCAACATCCTGATCTGCTGGGAGCATGGCGAGTTGACCGACATCGTGGAGGAGTTGGGGGATGATGATGCCCCGACGTATCCGGATGATAGGTAAGTGGTCGACTTGTCTGATGAAGGGCATCTAGAAAAGGTCTGCAGTCACTGACTGGCAACTCGCGTGCAGCTTCAATCTTATCTGGACGGATCCCTCCCCGTACACCGACATCACTGCGGTCACGAGCGAGAACTGTCCTGGACTTGATAGCTAGATTGCTGTCGCGGGTATCACGGGCTGGGTAGTTGAGAATGAAACATCTTTTTTTTTTTTTTTTTTTTTTTTTTTTCGTTGGAAGACCCCCATACTGCATGGAAGCTGTCGACCACAAGATGGCAAGATTCACAAATGGTCCTGATGGCCTGACAAGTTATTTGTGGTGACGAGAATTGGTTGTCTGTGTGTAGCCATGTCTCAGCTGCCAGCACGTCATTAACCGCCCGGAGCACACATACTTCGGGCGCACCGACGCCAGCCGACTCGGAGAACATTCTCTCACCCACATTCACCCACCATGACATCTGGTGGCGACTATAGGGCAGACAATCACTACCCATCGAACACGTCGAGAACTCGCCGATCAATGCATCGAAGTCCGTGGCCACCTTCTAGTGTATATACGACAGTCTTATGCTCTAAGGTGGGAAACCTTTAGTCTAGTTGCACGAACAGGTCGAGGGGCGGCGATAAGAGCCACGCCACGCCACGTTCCGACCCACGACCGTCCATCACGAGATGCAGGAACTAGGAGCGGAGGTTTTACTCGAATAGGCGCCCTCGGTCGTGCGTTCCCCACGATGTATCTGCCGGGGATGAGGATTGGGAAGTGCGAGTGCGAACGACGGAGCCAGCCAGGCCACTGTCGGTTACCCAGGATGGGGATCCTGCTTCAAAGCCATTTTCGGTGGCGATTCGTAACGGTCGCATGCGATAGGGGAGTGAGAAAGTGGGATTTCCGTCGATGCTCAATACGGAAACCTCGTGTATGGCTGTAATCCGCCAAGCGAAGCCTCTGTCTTGGTTGTTGTTGTGGTTTTGCTGGGCGAGAGAGATAAGCAAAGACAAGAAGGCTTCGCGGGAAGCCAAGTGTGCTGGGCAGGGGCTGCCAGCTTGGTATCTCCTTTGCCTCTCTCTTGGCCTCTCTCTTGGCCTGAACACTTCTTCTCGGTAAACCACGATGAGTGATACGATATGTCAATTCTACCAGGGTGTCAGCCTCTAGTAGCCACTTACACTTACCACCAGCTGAAAAGGCCATGGCGACCAATTGACACCCTCCCAATGATTTCGAAGGCAACCGAGGTGGTCACCCGATCTGGATGCGTGCACCACCAACACACGAATGGCGTCAATGCCGATTATCAGAAATTAATATGTGCTCGATGGCGCAAGTTCCCGTGCATCTCTTATCATTGTCGGTGTCGGTGCTGGGATTGGTGCATTCGCCCTGTGCATGCGGGCTGATAAGCATCAGCTAACCCTAACTAGGCTTCGAGCCCCGGTCTAGTGCTGTTGGGTCTTCCTGCAATCACCCCCCAGGCTCTGCGCAGCGTTACATCCCCCTCGCTGTCCGACGGCTGTGAGATTGCTTGAATTCGCCCTACCCTCCTTGGCAAGGTCATATCGCCGCCGGGGATCCGTCCTAGGGTCAAGCGATGGAGATATAAGAACAACCCACGATGCAGCCTGTGCTTTCCTGCTGCTGCTGCTGCTGCTGTTGCTGTGTCCGCACCACCTGACCCCAGCCACTGCCACCTGTCACAATGCGTATGTTTTATTCCTTGGCCAGTGAATCTCCCTCACTGACGAGCACCAGCTGCCCTAGCTGCAGAAAACCAGGTCGTCGACGCCATCAACCATGGCGAGGTGACCACCGTGATCAGCCATGCCACCCACCCCGACCCGGAGAAGTTGAACTACGAAGTCGACACCGCGACCATCGGCCACGACGAGGACTATCCCGCTCCGACGGACGCGGAGCTGAGCAGTCTGCGCAAGATCCCCGCCAACCTGCCCATCGTGGCCTACTCGCTGTGCTTGGTCGAATTCGCTGAGCGTGCCTCCTACTACGGTGCCCAGACGGTGTTTTCCAACTTCATCGAATTTCCGCTGCCCAAAGGTATGTGTGCCTACTCACATCTGGCTCAGTGGGGTCCAGTCTAACCCCGGATAGGTGGTAACGGGGCTGGTGCTCCCCCACGGGGCACGCAAGAGACCGCCGGTGCCCTGAACATGGGACTGCAGGCGAGTGATGCTTTGGTGCTGCTGTTCCAGTTCCTAGCCTACGTGATTCCCATCTTCGGAGGATGGTAAGATCCCCTCCCTTGGTCAACTTCGCGTTCGTGTTCACTGACCACCCTCCCCAGGTGGGCCGACGTCCACATCGGCCGGTACAAGGCGATCTGCATCGGGGTGGCCATCTGCGGTGTGGCGCACATCATCCAGATCATTGGGGCGATCCCGAGCGTCCTGCAGCAGGGCCAGTCGCACGCGGCGCCGCCGTTCATCATCGGGCTGCTGATGCTGGCGTTCGGGGCGGGAGTGTTCAAGCCCAACATCGCGCCCACGGTGCTGGACCAGTTCCGCCACCAGAAGCAGTACACCAAGACGCTCAAGTCCGGGGAGAAGGTGATCGTCGACCCGGAGATGACGGCGACGCGCACGATGCTGATCTTCTACGGGGTGGTCAACGTCGGCGCCTTCTACATGCTGGCCACGACCTATGCCGAGAAGTACGTGGGCTACTGGCTGGCCTTCCTGCTGGCGGGCTTGGTCTACTTCATCCTGCCGGTGGTGCTGGCCCTGGTCTACAAGAAGACCTACCGGCTGCCGCCCAGCGGGAACTCGGAGCTGGGCCAGGCCGTCAAGATCACCATGACGGCGCTGCGCGAGAACAAGTTCCAGGTGTGGCGCAAGAACTTCTTCGACGCCGCCAAGCCCAGCGTCCTGGCGGCCAAGGGGATTACCGTGAGCTGGTCGGATAAGTTGGTCGACGATGTGCGGAGAACCCTCGGTATGTCCTAGCCCCAATCACCACCGCTCCTCCTCCTCCTCCTCCTATACTAACGCGAACAACAGTGGCCACCGAGATCTTCTTCTACTTCCCGATCTACAACCTGAACGACGGGGGCATCGGCTCCGTGCTCTCGAACCAGGGCGCCTCGATGACGACGAACGGAGCGCCCAACGACCTGCTCAACAACTTCAACGCGCTGACGATCATCGTGGCGGTCCCCATCCTGAACTACGGGATCTACCCGCTCCTGCACAAGTACAACTGCCACCCGGGGCGGATCACGCGCATCACGTTCGGGTTCTTCCTGGCGACGATCGGCGGCGTGGCGGGCGCCATCGTGCAGTACCGCGTCTACAAGACCTCGCCGTGCGGCTACTACGCCTCCTCGTGCGCGACGGGCGTCTCCCCCATCAGCATCTGGTGGCAGCTGCCCAACACCATCCTGTCCGCGCTGTCCGAGATCTTCTGCAACGTCACCGCGTACGAGCTGGCCTACGCGCGCTCGCCGGCCAGCATGCGCGGCCTCGTCATGGCCGTCTTCCTGTTCATGACCGCGCTGAGCAGCGCGCTCGGCGAGATCCTCGTCCCCGTGACCGAGGACCCCTATCTTATTTGGATCTGGGCCGCGCCGGCGATTGCGTTGGCTGTGCAGGGCGTCTTGTTCTGGTTCCGGTTCAAGCATCTCAATAATGACCAGTTCATGACGGATGAGAAGGATTACGAGGGGGAGGAGGTGGAGGGGGCGCGCAGTGAGCCGAGTGTTGTCGGGGAGGAGAAGGAGGTCGTGAAGAGTGGGTAGTCGACTTTCTTTTACTTGCGTTGATGGCTGGCTGGGGATCATGGTGAGGGTTAATGGGTCCATGTATGATTGACGGGAATATTGAGGGTATATGTCTAGGTGAATTAATCTAATCGCTACACGCTACACTTCTATCACCAAAAATAGTCAACAATCCTGTAATGTACACCGTACTATTCCTACAGCCCACCTCCCACCTAAGCATCGGCATCCACCTCATAAGCAAAGGGAATACTCTGCATCGCCCCCTTGCGCTGCACGCACCCGGCCGCCGCGCGATTCGCCAGCCTCACCGCGCCCTCCACCAGCCCATCGAACTCCTCCAACCGCCGGCCCTGCGCCACGAACCGCGCAAACGCCGCCGTGAAGTACCCGACAAACGTATCCCCGGCGGCGGTGGTATCCAGGACCTTGGCCACCTTCTCCGCGGCGACGCACCCGCTCGTGCCGAACCGGGTCGAGAAGAACGCCCCCTTGGCGCCCAGCGTGATGAGCACGACGCCCACCTCGGCCGCCTCATGGAACCGCGGCGCCAGCACGCGGGCCAGCGTCTCGGGGTCCTCCTCATTCGCGGCCCCCTGCTCCAACCCCAGCGCCTTGGCCATGAGCACCGCCTCCGTCTCATTCATCACCAGCACGCTCGTGCCCCGCAGCGCCTCCAGCGGGATACCCTCCGGAAACACCGGCGCCGGGTTGAAGACCACATGCGCCCGCGCATCCCGCCGGTTGTAATGCTCCAGGAGCCCCAAGACCGTCTGCCGGGGAATCTCGCCCTGCAGCACCACCACCTTCTGAATCTCTTGCGAAGAAGAAACCAACCCCTCCACCCCCTGCACCACCTCGTCCGCGGAATTCATCCCAACATGGTTGGCCCCGGGCACAACCGCAATCCGGTTCTCGCCGCTCTCCTCCTCGACGATGATCGTCGCGGATCCCGTGCTCGCGTCGGCCCGCTCGGTCACGCCGGCCACGCTGACGCCGGAGCCTTCGAGGAGTGGCCGCATCAGGGCGGAGTAGTAGGGGTCGTTGGCCCCCACCGCGCCGACCATGTAGACGTTCGCGGCGTGCGTGGTCGGGGTGGTGTGTGCGGCGCGGCCGCAGGCCACGGCTTGGTTGGCGCCCTTGCCGCCGGCGGAGATGGTGAGGCTGGTCGCGGTGAGGGTTTCACCGGCCTGCGGGCAGCGTGGCGTGTAGGTGACGAAGTCGGTGTTCAGGGAGCCGATTATGAGGATTGAGGGGGGCGACGACATTTTGCGGGGGGTGGTGGTGAAGTGGGGAGCGGGGTTGAGGTTGAGTGCGATTCTGAGGATTGTTGGGGCTTGAAAGGTTAGTATTCTGTTTTGGGGGGTCGGTTTATGGTGGAACTTACAGTAGAGACTGAGGAGGAGAAAGGGGAGTTGTGTTGTGGTGTGCTGAGTTGAGTAGAGAAGAGGAAGTAAACAGGTTATTGTTGCATGCGATGCGATGCGGCGAAAGGGTCGTGTGAGCGGGGATGAGGCGGGAGGATCAGTCAGCATATCACGTGCATGACGTAGGTGCGATAAGATAAGCTGATAGCGATAAGGTAGTGCTCATATGAAGGTACGAGGGGAGGATGGACTGGCCTGCAAGAATTAATTCCATGTCTATGACTTTGAATTGTAGACTGTAGTAGTCGGAGGCGATTCATCCAGAAGAATGCCTCGTTAAGATATGTTATCCTAGTGTCAAGTTGGCTTCTACTAAGCATATAGACACAAACTTTCCAGCTGGAATAGACACAACCCTATCCCAGTATTACCTCGGCAGCAGGCAAGTTACTGCCAGTGCACAGTTCACTCAATATGAAGGCAGGACTAGCTCCCAAATTCTGCAGAAGAAGAAGCTATATTCTAAGGACTTATACACTATAGTCCTCATCATCCGCGGCGGAGCAGGTCCAGCTAACCTCAACCAGGCACCCCCCGGGCCACCACTATCCACCTCGGCATCCCCTCCGCTCGCCATTTTAGGACCTCTGATGCAATCTGCAAGCCAAGCAGCCACCACTGCACAGACACAAACCCCCTGACAGGTCCGAGAAATTCCCCGAGCTCCTGCATGCCATTCCCCCCCGACACGGGGTACATACCCGTCAACCTTAATGTCGTCCCGCCGTTGCAGTTCTTCAGCGTCCAGCACCGCCATACCGCAGCATAGCAGTATATAAGAGCCACCCTCCCATACCCAAGACACCCAGTAGACAGCACCCTTCACTCCACCCCCATCAAACCATCCCAGATCCAAAAGCAAAATGCTCTCCCTCCTTCTCACCCTCCTCGCAACCAGCACCCTCACCCTCACCCTCGCCTCCCCCTCCCCCCTCCACAAACGCTCCGTCACCTGCCTGAAGGTCGGCGCCACCGCGACAGCATCATGGACCAACAGCGCCGGCCAGAGCTGCACGTACACCGGCGTGGTGGGCAGTAACTACGGCGAGAACAGTGCGGGAGGCGAGTACGTTATTCCTCTCATTCCCCCCCACACATTCAACCCGATGTACATCCTGACCAAAGAAAGCTACTCGTGCAACGGCCGCTGCGGCGCCGGATGCACCGGCACCGCCATCGGCAACGTCTACACGCAGGACTGCTGGTCGCATGACATCTGCAGTTACTTCAACAATGCGTCGGGTGGGGCGAGGTATGTCCTTTCCCCTCCCTTTTAAGCCTCTCATTATAGAATGGTGTGGGTTTGAGGTAGAGGCAGGCTAACGGGATAGTGACCCCAACTGCGGCGCGGCGTACGAGGCGGCCGAGGATGATTTCCTGTTAGGTTATGTGGATGGGTGCTCGCAGACGAACCCGACGAATGCGGTGGTCAAGCCGACTGTCTCGCCGGTTTGTTCTTAACGCTCTCCAGTCGGGGTTCTAGGTCAGCTATCACGGGCAGGGAGGACGGAGATGCGACGGCACTGTATCCTTACACTCTACTTCACAAAGTATACGATACATCTTCTGTATCAATCTAAGAACCGAGTAAACAGGGTAAACAGGGTATCACACCAAACATAGAATCGCAAACCAAAAAGAAGAAAAAAAAAGAAAAGAACAAACAAACAAATAAAAAAGCTAGGACGGCCCCTAAACGAAATAATAAAGCCCAGAGCAAGACAGTCGCATCGCAATCAAACCGCCGAAAAATAGCCCCGCCCATTCTCCAACGGCAGCGGGGGCTCCGTCAAGGCCATTCCGATATCATCCTGCAACTGACTCAGCCCGGGCTTCCGCGCTTTGCACGGGGGCGTCTCGCCCGTCGAGGAGCCCCGGCTGTGGCTCTCGGCGGCGGAGCTGTGGATGCCGATGAGCCAGGGGCAGTGGAACCGCAGGAACTGCCGGAAGTACGGCAGGCAGCCGCAGATGATGATGAAGTTGGCTTCGATGACGCTGGATGGGTGGTTAGCACTTCGCCTCGACAAGAGGAATCAGAGGGGGGACGGGACGTACATGAACACACTCGCCAACGCAAGCTTATACGTCGGATCCACCGAGGTCACTAGCGGCCATAATGTTGCGAGGCGCACGATGCTCGTGACGATTGTCCTACCGTCGAAACCTATTAGCCAACCCTGTCCTCTTCCCCAACCCTTCCTCCGCATACCCCAACCCAACACCCAGGGGAAGACGTACAAACACCCCACCAAGAACATCCCAAAGATCCCCACCTTCTGCACCGTCGGCAAGGTCAACTTCATCACAATCGGCACGGGAATCAGAATCAACACCACGTCGCTCAGCGTATTCGTCACCGCGGTCGCCATGTAGATCCCGGGCCGACTGATGCACCCGCCCGTCGTGTCGGTGACGTCCCAGTTCCGGCCCACGGGGTGGCACGCGAATATGAGCGCCAGCGTGAGCGCGATGCTGTACGCGATGATGAAGACGGCCACCCCGTTGATCACGTACTTCCAGAACCGGATCATGCTGAGCAGCCGGTGGTAGAGCATCAGGAGCGCGATCTTGGCCAGCGCCAGGCTAGAGATGTAGATTGTGGCGGCGGGGACGACGACCTTTGCCCCTCCGTGGTCAGTGGATGCACTTTGATGTTCAAAAGGTGATCTGGGGAGGCTGGACGCACCTTGAGATAGGTGTTGATCTGGTCCGGCGTCAGAAACCAGATATGCACGCCGATGTGTGCGTGCTCGAACCCGTCTGCTTCAATTAGTGCCGCTGACTTCCTCGAGACAAATTAGGGTGCAACGCACAGATGATAGTTCCTTGTGTCGCCATCGAAATGACCTGTCGCGTGTGAGCACTCTCTGTTACCACGGCGTAAAAACAGTGACATCATACCCAGGCGCATATTAAGCACACTGCGACAACGACAATCAGCCTCGACCCGACCACGTCTGAAAGCGTACTCACCATCATCCCACCAGAACTTCTTCATGATCCGGATCTTCGTGTAGATCCGCATCACCAGCAACGGGGTGCACACGGCGATCCCCACGGTCGCCAGTGCCAGATTCGTCGTCCGCAGCCAGCCGTGGCCGGGACTGCCGGTGGTGTTACTCGCTGAAGCGGCTGCGCTGGCTGCCTCCATGATGAGGTGCCGTAGAGGGTGCAAATACAGAGAACGGGGGCATGATTGCTCCACCGAGAGAATGGTTGACACTTTGTTTGCCTTCGCAATGGGGAGATGGGGCGGCGGGGTGGGATTATACTGGGGAATTAAGGTTGGGGAGGATGCACGGATGCACGCATCATCGACTCGGCCAGTTGCCGATCCGGCAAATGACATCCGGCGGCAATGCACTGCCTCTCCCTCCAACCAAGATCCACCCGATCGTTGAACGTCCATTTAAGCTTGATTCGTGTCTTATGTCATCATCTTATTTTTGATTAACTCGTATCACTCATCATTAAATACTAATCTGGTCGTCTCATCTATACATCTCATCCAGATGAGCACGTCATTATATATACACATGTCAGAACGGCTCAGACGTTTCAACTCCACGCTCACGCCCCCATCATCACGAATCCAATGCAAAGCATCGTTCCACGGAATCAGCATTGTTGCCCCACCAGTTTGGCATCGACACCCGCTTGCCGGATCCAAAGAACAAGAAGATCAGCAGCATGTTCAAATTGAAGCCTGCGTCGAACGCCGCTGCAATCATATAGCTGTATCGCTTCCACACCTCGAAGCGGTGGCGGTAGGCCCAGTACATCACCACGTAGCCGCCGATGAAGGCCGACGTGTATCCCGTGCTGAGATTACCGTAGAAGACCGCCATCCCCGAAAAGAAGATGCTGACGTTCCACAGGTCGATCCGCAGCCACTTGGGCAGCAGGCGGTGCGCGATGTAGAGGATGGGCGGCAGGACCGCTCCCACCAGGAACGCCCACGGCAGGGGCCGCATCTCAGCTTCCTTGAACAGACGGCTGGGACCAAGTACGGCGTACTGGACACCAAGAGTGTTGGAAGACTTCAGGGACTGTCCAGACCACTGCCCAAGCGGGTCGGTCGTCTGCCCGGACAAATAATCACCCTTGGTGTCAAGCACCCAGCGAATCACCGCATAATTGATCGGAATGCCCAGGATCGTACCGAAGACCTGGGAGAAGAAAACAGTCTTGGGAGGAATATGCATGTAGTGCCCGATCTTCTGGTCCTGAAGCATGTACTGCGCCCGATACCATGCATCACCGGCAATAGAGCCATACACCGAGGGTCCGCAAGGGTGACGGTGTCCGGCGCCCGCTTTGGTCTCCACCATGTAACCGTAAACCAACTCGTTAAACGAACCAGCAGCGATCTGATAGTTCGAGATGGCGTACAAGAAACCAAACGGCAACACCAGCGCGCCTGCGGTCGACAGCCCCACAAAGAGCGTCCAAATCGGAATCCAGAGATAACCACAAGCCAGGATGACAATAAGAGCCACGAATCCAGCCATGAAGAGAGCCACGTACCACCACAGAGGTACTTCTTTGTAGGCACGCTGCAGCACATTCAGCCGATCGTGATACTGCCAGTTGAGGCCTTGGTTGGGAGTCTCCGAAACCTTCTTGCGGGAGGCAATGAACTTTTTCACGTTGGTGTAGACCTGGGTCCACCCAAAAGTCAAGATCCAGGTCACGGCGGCTGTGATTTTGGCATAGTCGAAAAATGTTGCCCAGGCATTCTGAAGACCCATGTACATCGGTCCATATTGCTCATAGGCGGTCTCATTCAAATTGTAGTTAGACGTGAGCACCTTCAGGGTGGGATAAGTGGTGCCGTTCGCCATCATCAGCGAGTTGGACATCAGTCCGTACTTGAACGACCCCAAGTTGCCCCATTTGGCGGCGGGTAAGAGCACCCAACAGTTGAACACAAACGCTGCGAACAAGACGACCTGGGTCCACCAGGGAGTCAACAGGATCGAAGACCCGTTCCAGTTGATGTTGGACCAATCGAGCGACAGGTTCAGGAAGCCCATTCCTCCAATTCCAGAGCCAATGAAGTTGGCCACCGGGTTACGGGGGGCAACCCAACACAGAAAGGCCAGCGACGAAGTGAAGGGGAAGACATACTCCGGCAGGAATTGCCACAGTGTCATACCCAGCAGAGAGAAGAAGAAGATCTTCATTTGTCGGCGCGCAAGGGGCGACGATCGGTCTTGCTTGCGGAAACTCTCGAAAAGGGTCGTCTGCATGAGTGCCTGAGGCCAGATAAACATGGGGTCGTACAGCAAGACCTGACGCACGAGGGCGGCAAACGCGTATCCAATCCAGACAATGGCAAACATGAAGAAAATGGCAACCCCGGCATTGACCCGCTCACCATAGAATAGCTCGGCCATGGCAATGGGGGTGTAGCCCAGATTGTAGGTCGCTCCGGAGGCGGCAGTCAGGGTGACGAGCACGTGCTCCTTGATGCTCCATGGCGCGGGGTTGAGGTTGAACGACCAGCGGGTGAACGGCAACCGAATCTCCCAGGCTGGAAGCACTCGAGCCAAGAAGTGACCGGCGTAGTGACAGGCAATCTGGACGAAGAAGACGGAATACGGAGCCTCCCGAGTACGGAAGTGACTCATCATCGAAAGGAAAGCTCCAGGACAAACAAAGATGATACATAGCACAAAGTAGCGGAAGGTAATCGTTGGCAGCGTCGGATCGTCGGTGAGACTGACTAGTTGGCGGACCTCCAGTGGCAGAGCGGTAATCTCAGGATCGTCCTCAACCTCCGCCTCGGCCACGGTCGGCTCTCCAGATTTCGGGTCGCGCTCCGGATCCCGCTTCAGATTGTCCACTGGGACGTTGGTGATCGAAGGCGTCTCGGATGTGGGTGTGAGCGTTGGGTTCTCGCTGTAGCTGGTGGACCGGGCTCCTGAGGTAGCTTCCTCCGACCCGTTAGAGTCGTGTTTCCGACGAAAGATGGTGGGCAGACCCATCTTGCACTGTCCAACCCAGAAGGGTGTGATTCTTTACTATTGCAATGAGAAACATCTTGACAGCCTGGTGAGCGCGCGCGGCCTTATAGAGGAGAATAGGCAGTTTGTCATTAGTTTCTGGGCAAAATGGCGTGCTCGCCGACACAACAGGTCTAATGCCAGAAATGGTCACAAACGTGCATGTTGTTCGGGCGAATTCCGAAGCCACGGGATGCGACTGGATGCATGGTAAGGTTAGGTGGATGCAAGGGCTTTGGCACAGGGCGAGACTGGTGGATGAAAGATGGCGTTATCTGTGGAATCTTATTCGCGATCCGCCGAATGATTCCTAGCTTGGACGCTGCAAGGGCGCTGATTCGCCGAGCGAGATTAAACTTAGTCAACGGACCGTGCCTGAGCCAGATAAAAGAGTCTGGCTGGAACGGTTTCTGCTCTGGTGTTTGACTCTGGCTTCTTTCTCTCGGGGGAATTGACTAATTGCGGCGGGGTGGAGTTTACACCGAAGGGCACACGCGGCGGATCTTCGGCGGCTCACGTGGCCGACTGACCAGTGATTTTTTCCGTTCTGAAGCTTGCGCGGAAAAAGCTCGTTTGGAGTGGGTCGACTCTGGCACGGCACTGCTGGGTGGTCGTCGTCTTGCTTAATCCCCACGGGTTTAGATACCGGGCATTATCTTGAGAAAGAAGGGGAATCATTGCCACTGTCACTTTGTTCATTTATTCGTCAGTCATTTTGAAGATCATCCCATAAAAGTCACAGAGAGAACGCACCAATGCAGCACAAGCAGGGATAGCGCGGCCGGTGGTGTGGTTGTGGTGGTGGTGGTGGTGGGTGGCGGTAGCCAAGCGTGAGCCACTTCTTCTGGAGTAGCACCCGTGGACGGCCACCGGAGCGATCGACAAGGTGTATACAGTACGCACTGCGCTTGCTCTGAACAGAGAAGCTCCCGACAGTAACCGTGACCTTGACATGCATGCATAACAAGAAAAGTCTGTTGGTTCAAAGTGACAGGTGCCAGTCAAGGAAATCAAGGCAGTCAAGCAGGTTGAGAATAACGAAGGAGTGGGGGAAAAGCGAGAAGTCACGATGACGTCCTTCTCCTATCAACGTCACCGCCCTGGAATCTGCCGCGACCGTCGCTCCCAGCCAGATCTATAAACCTTTCCAAGGTCATGGACTCTCTTCTTCTGTACCTGTACTCTCCAATTCAGCATCGATATTCTCTACGCACGCATTCAAGATGACAGGCCACACCAGAAAGCACAAGGTCGCCGTGGTCGGCTCAGGAAACTGGTACGAACGCCCGCCTCCGCATCCTCTCAACATCACTGACGCACACCTCTCCAACCAGGGGCTCGACTATCGCCAAGATCATCGCTGAAAACACCAACGAACACCCCGACCTCTTCGACAAGGAGGTGCGCATGTGGGTCTTTGACGAAGACATCGAAATCCCAGAGTCCTCCAAGCACCACAGCAAGCTCGGCGGCCAGAAGCGCAAACTCACCGAGGTGATCAACCAAGTCCACGAGAACGTGAAATACTTGCCGGACATCGCCCTGCCAGACAATGTGATGGCGGATCCCGACCTCAAGTCCACCGTCAAGGATGCCACACTGCTCGTCTTCAACCTGCCGCACCAGTTCATCGGCAAGACGCTGGACGGGATCGCGGGCCACATCCTGCCGTACGCGCGCGCCATCTCCTGCATCAAGGGGGTGGACGTCTCCGACGGGACGGTGACGCTGCACTCGGAGCTGATCATGGAGCGGCTGGGGATCTACTGCGGGGCGCTGTCGGGGGCCAACATCGCCCCCGAGGTCGCGGCGGAGAAGTTCTGCGAGACGACGATCGGCTACGACGTGCCGCCGATGGACCTGAAGCAGCAGGATGACTCGGCGGAGGCCAACCTGATCAAGATCGACGAGCAGCGGCAGTGCAAGGCGAAGCCGACGCACGTCCGGCTCACCCCCGTGCCGCCGGAGCTACCGCACGTCGGCGCCGAGCTGCTCGAGACGCTGTTCGCGCGGCCCTACTTCCACGTGCACCACGTGCGCGACGTCGCCGGCGTGGCGCTCGGCGGCGCGCTGAAGAACATCATCGCCCTCGCGTCGGGCTTCGTCGCCGGCAAGGGCTGGGGCGAGAATGCCAAGGCCGCCATCATGCGCGTCGGCGTCCTCGAGATGGTCAAGTTCGGCCGCACCTGGTTCCCCAAGTCCGTCGAGGAGCGCACCTTCACCGAGGAGAGCGCCGGCATGGCCGATCTGGTCTCCTCCTGCAACGCCGGTCGGAACTACCGGTCGGCCTGCCACGCGGTGGAGCAGGGGGTCAGTGTCAAGGAGATCGAGGAGAAGGAGCTCAATGGACAGAAGCTGCAGGGCACGTCCACCGCGTACGATATCTATGAGTTCCTCGAGAAGCAGGGCAAGCTCAAGGAATTCCCCTTGTTTGTCGCAGTTCACGGTATGTTCTTTCCCCTGGTGCTCAGAGGGGGTTGATGCTGACATGTCCCAGATATCCTTGAAGGCACTGCTAAAGTGGAAGATCTTCCAGCATTGATTGGGGGAAGAAAGAAGATCGAAGGCTAGAGTGGTTTGAAACTACTTGGTAATGATAGACGTAACTATAACGAATGCATAAACTGATGAACTGAGACTATACCATTATTCCCGTGACGAACGTGCTGTGAAGACGAGTGATATAAACAACACCTAGATTATAATCTTTTCCGAAAGAAACGCTTCAAGTAACAAGCATATAATAACAGAAACCCCGAGCAAGCCCATCGTCCTAGAGGAGCTGGTGGTAGTGGAAATCATCGTGATGGTAGTGGTGGTGCTGAGTTGATTATTGCGGGGACGGTCGGAACGAAGTGGGTCGTATAGTTCATCTCGAATTTTGGAAACTTTTTCGCTCTAGGCCAAGCTGTAGAGATACAACTTTTTAATTATGCACATATTCTCATCTAGTCCACGAGGATGAAATCATACCCCTAAGCCTCCTCTCGGTCCATATCATCCCTGTTCCTCTTCTTCCCCCGTCCGCCCCGACCCTTGGTATCTTTATCCTGCAAGTCCCGCATGGCCATAGCCGCTTGTCGCTGTGCCTCGTTCACTCGGTCGCTGAATACCATGACCTCGTCCTTCTCCGGCTTGTACTCGTCCAGTTTCTTGTTCAAGACGCCCTCGATCCGCAGCCATACTTCCACTTCATACTGGGTGACAAACGAAATGGCAATACCGCTCTTGCCTGCACGAGCGGTTCGACCCACACGGTGGATGTAGGTCTTGCTGTCCTGAGGCAGGTCGTAGTTGAGGACAAAGTCGACGGCGGGGATATCCAGACCACGGGCCGCAACATCCGTGGCCAGCAGGAGATTGCGCGACCGGGCGCGGAACTTGCTCAACGACGCCAAACGAGCGCTCTGAGAGAGTTGACCGTGGATAGGGATGGCCCCGAAGCCGAGGTTGCGCAACAGGAAAGCCAGGCGCTGGGTTTCGTGCACGGTGCGTGTGAAGATAATGCCCAGTTGTCCCGCGCGCTCGTTCAGTAGGTGGACCAGGTAGACGTCCTTGAACTTGTGTGGGATGAACATGTACGACTGGGAGAGATTCGTGGCGGTCTGGTTCTTGGCGGAGACGGAAACGCGGACGGGGTCGGACAGGGACGCCCGCTGGAGGGACTCGACCTTGTTGGACATGGTCGCGGAGAACAGGTAGGTTTTTCGGCGCGGCAAGAGGCGGAGAAGCTTGTCCAGGATGGGACCGAAGTCCAGATCCAGAAGTCGATCGGCCTCATCCAGCACCAGGTATTTCAAGTTTTTGAGCGAGAAGCCCTTGGTGTTTTCCAGGTGATCCAACAGACGTCCCGGCGTCGCCACGATGACATGCGGTTTCTTGCCCAGGGCCATCGCCTGCGACACCATGTCCATACCACCGATCAATAGTGTACATCGCACGGAGATCAGCGACCCCAGGGCTTCCACGGTTTGGGCGATCTGCTGCGCCAGTTCTCGAGTTGGCGCGACGATGAGGGAGTGTAGTGTTTGGGGTTGGTCCATCAGCGCTTGCAGGATCGGGAGCACAAATGCGGCCGTTTTACCACTACCTGTCTCAGCGAGACCGATCAAATCTCGTCCTTCTAAAGCGATCGGGATACAACGGGCCTGAATAGGAGTGGGCTTCTTGAAGCCTAACGAGTCGCAGGCCTCGCACAGGGAGTCAATGACTCCCAGTTCTTGGAAAGTTTCTGCAAGCTTCGTGGTCGACTCGAGTTCGGAATCGGCGATCGGGGTCGCATCCGCCTCCGGTGAGGCTTCTTTGGCGACTTTGCCCATTTTGTGAGTCTGATCGGTGTTTGCTGGGTGAGACGAGGTGGTTAGAAACAATAGAGGGACGGCAGACGGTTGTGGGATGGGTTGCGGCTCACGAAGGGCTGGGGTGTTGTCCTGCCATCGCCAGGAGGATTTCCAAAAAATTCCATGTGAGCGGCGGAACTTCTGTTGATCCGGAGGACCGATAGCTTATCAGTGGGGTCTTATCGGGGATTCTGCCACCGCCTTGTCGGTCAGGCCGAAATCTTTTTGCCTGCTGGGCGGTGAGAGGGCGGTCAAGGATGGATCAATTTATCTAGTTACAGCGTACAGTACATAATAGTTAATAGTTAAGAAGCACCACACATGACGTCTCACTTGCCGTCAAGCTTGAACCACCGTTCATTCTGCTCGTTGCCCATATGATATGACAAGCACGCATGAATTTGATCTTCCGATATAGTCACAGATACCCCACGCGGCGCCGGAGTGTTATTTGCTGGTTCGCTGGTGAATCCTTCCGTATCCCCGCTCGGCGGCGCCGAACCGGCCACAGACTCAATTTTCATTATCTCGGTGGCGATACGAGCCCCTAGATTCGAGTCCCATGGTCCTTCACGGTGCGGCCAGGCCCGTAGCGCCTCGATCGCCCGTTCGCGGACTCTATAATCCCGACATCCGGTGGCTACGAGGAAGAGCGGCGGAATGATGCCCATGTCCATGCAGACACTAGGTCGTTCAGGGAACTTGTCCGTCACTTCCCCAACGCAAGCCAGAAGGCGCTCGAATCTAGGAGTATAAGTGTTCAGCAGGGGATCGTTGCTTTCCAGAAGACAGATCTCCAGATGCAAAGACGCCGCGGTCTGATGGAGGTGAATGACGTCTGCACCGCGTTGTTCTTTCGCGCTCAGCTTGTAATATCTTGTAGCACGGAAGTGGTCGAAGGTTCGGGCGAACTCGCTCACTTCTGCGCAGCGTCTGCTCTGCTCCTGATAGAGAGACTCGTACTGCATCGCAAGCTGTTCATGCGACAGGGCCTCTGTGGAGTTTGTAAACTTGAAAACCCGTTCAAGAATGTGGTCGAGTGCTTCCCGCGCATCAGATATGTTCCGGAAAGCGGGTGTCCTGTCTGCCTGCGACGTTGTGATCTCCAGAATAGGACTTCCTCCCACGAGTGAACTTGTCTCCCCAAACTGCGCAGACTGAATGTCCAAGTGGGCGAAAGCAGCGACCAGGGCTCGCTCTACCGGGGGCCCACGCACACGCGACTCATCTGTCATCTTCACGCCAAACTCTTTGAGCATTTGGATTCCACTCCGAAGATGCCCGAAAGCCTTGTCATACTGGCCCCGCAGCCATTCCAAGAGCACAAAGACCAGGCAGCATAGCAAGGTGACTTCCCGCAGCCGAGGATCGTGAGATGCGCGGCGAGTATGGAGAAGCGAGAACGAGCGCATTGACTGCTCCAAGGCAAACCGATGCCAAGTGTTCCCCAGGTCCTCCTTGGATAACGGCATCCCTTGCCTTTCCGAGTCTTGATGGAACGCACTCAGAGCAACAATAGCGTGATAGACCGCGGGTTCCTCGTGACCCATCTGGAGGATTAATTGCTGCCACAGGGCAGAGTCGAAGAAGCCCACCATGGCGGGCATGGTGCGAAGGTGGAAGAACGAGAAGCATCGTCGTTCCTCTCGGTTCATCGTCCGATGCACTCCTCCAACCAGGCCTGGCACAATCTGGAATTTGGCTTGAGGTGGCGTATTGGTCTTGCTTGCACGGGGTAAACGATGCTGGTCATACCCATCGCAACGCCGACCGGTAGATGTGCAGTTGTTACACGCCCCGGGTGCTTCGTCGCATTTCTTGTGACGGACTCTATCGGTGGTATATGAGAAGATGAGTTGCATACTGCGTGTGGGAGGTATAATCACCGACAAGTGCGACAGCCCGTGACTGATCTCTTACCTCCAGCTCTTCGTCGTGGCACGAGAGTGGTTTGGCCCTGGCCGGAGGTACTACTGGTCTCACTCATATGAAGCAGAGTAGACTGGGCAGCGGAGATAAGAACAAGGATAATTAATGGTGGCAGCCTAGGCCTGCGAGGGAGAAATGGGAATTTAAAGGTTTGGTGGAGTTCAGCCTTCTTAGCGCGGATGCTGCATTAGTGAACTTACTAACGCACCGAATTGCTGCAGAAATCAAGCAACTTTCTCTTTCCACTTTGTGGTCGAACCTGGCGCCACCTTCTGCCCGCTAAGCAGCCTAGAGCATAGAAGAAGCACAAAAGTATGTGTTTTAAGCAATTTCGAAGCAATCACCACATTGCTTTGATAATAAATGCTGGACAAAACAGCTGATATTCAAGAAGCTTGTCTAAGCTTACTAGCCCTAGTCATATATGTAGGCGATTTTATGAGGAACATGTTCGTTGGATTCTTGGTGATCAGGTTATCTGAGGTAAGGTAGTCATATGCAAAGCAGCCGAGTAATTAATTGTGTTGCATGAAAAGAAACGCAAACGCCCAAATGTGTTCTTCAGCCTACTACCCTACTACTTAGGTACTCTCGGGATCTGACGAATTGGGCCACTTGGCATAGCACCTCCTCGCCTTGCTCGACTGCATCTCATATCTTCCACCGGGTCTCAAAAGTGCCATTCACCGCAACCTTCATCGTCAACTCCATCTTTCATAATCTGTTGATCTAAAGTTTTGCTTTGTCGTCAATGATACCATCGTCAATCAGCATAGCCCTGGTAGCATAGCAATCCGCATCCTGCTGCAGAACGATTGTGGCAGGAAGGGAAGCTGCGACAAACACCGCGATTTTGAAGAGTGAGGGGAGATAGTTGGAAAAAGCAAGGAGTTTCTGGGATGTAGTGACATTCGGTCTTACTTGTGCTGTGAAAGCGTCGGACCGATATCCGGCGCTCGTCCGGCGCGGAAAGCTGTAGCCTTGATCCGATCCGGGGTAAGATTGACAGGCAAGCACGAGCCAGCCCGAAGCCAGCAGTACCGTGTGGTAGACTTATAAGGTTGATGCACATACCCCAGACCCAGGACCCAGGCTCCTTGTTCGAACGTCTCTAGTCGATTTTCCACTCCCTGCAATTCCCATTTCAACCGGCACTGAAATACTAATACTCTGCAAAAAGGGAGAACATATCTTCTATGGAGATTGAGGAGCGACTGTTGGCTCATCCCACCATCAGTGAGGCCAGTGTGGTCGGCATCAAGAATCAGCGGTATGGGGAAGTCGTGGGCTGCTTCCTAAAGGCTGCTGGGAAGACGCCAGCTGGAGACGATGGAATCCGGCAGTTTGTAGGCCAGGTCCTGGGACGTCACAAGGCACCCACTCACATTTTCTGGCTGGGCGACGAAGGCGTTGGGAGGATTTTCCCCATACAGGCAGTGGGAAGCACAAGAAGCACTTACTGCGCGAGATTGGAAATAGGCTGGTTGAGGGGTCTGCTGTGCGGGCAAAACTGTAGAGAATGAATCACGGACCGCCATGTCTTTCTTGTCGTTTGCCAGTCACCATCTGAACTTATGCCCACTGCTATCCACTTGGGAGCGCAACTACGCGATAGCCAAGCAGCTTAGCTGTAATCCGTCATGAACACTTCCAATACAAGTGTTTGATGCAGGGATTCGCCTCGGTCCGCGCAGTCGGAACCCGGGGAACTCAACGGAAAGCGGTCCGGTCGACCACAAAGGATGGTGAAGATAAGCTGCATTGCGGTGAGATTTGCTGTCCCTATGAACAACCATTGGGTGTTTGTCCTTAGCCTATCGGTGGGAAAATGCCGGGCACCCTGTAACCCGCAGTGAGGATGGTTGAGGTTGGACCCCCTGAAGGTGCCTACTTCGATCAAGCTTACGGGGCGAGAGAGTGCCAGGCGCGTCGGAAGGTAGACTGGGACCTATGCACTCAGCAAGCCAGCACCCAGGCGAAGATTTGAACCGTTCTTCAGGGGCAAAGTGCTTTGAACGAGTATGGCGGAATCCGTTTGGGTGTTATAATTTGACGTATGGTTATGACCCGCAACTATGAAATGGAATGGACCCCGGTCGTATTTTATCTTTGCGGTTTAGCTTGAGCCATGAAAGTCTGTCATGTAGCTGAGCAAATAGAGCATGATAGTAAATAGGGCCGAAGACTTTCTGACAAGATCCGAGTTTCATGGACAAGTACGGTGCAGTTTTAAGGTGCGATGATGGACCGGTAGAGCCATCTCTTCAGAGCCTGGTCTGCCAATCGGGTCGGAAAGACCGCTCAAACGCTAAACAATGTTTTGAAAATACGCAACACCACTGATTGATATAACGATGACTCTCAAGACACACGGTCACGCAGGAGATCCGATCAACGATGCTTTTTAACATACACTACAGGACACCCATCCACCTTGACCTCGCTTAGAGACACACGAGCCCATTCCATTCTCGACCGAGTGTCTAGGCTGACCGGTCTTAGTCGGGGACTTATTCTTTGACTGCGAGCGTGGTCAAAAGATGGGACTGTGGGTACTGGCCATGGATACTGGGTTTCTCATGGGCGCCATGTGTAAGGCCTCGCGCGCTGGCTTTTCCAATGACGGCGCCACGAAAGCTAACGTTCCCCACAGTTGGGCAGATCATTGACCTCGCCGGCGAGAAATGGGTTTACTGGCTGAATGCCATCTTGCTGGGCATTCTCTTCCTGCTGGTGCTTCTCTGTCTCCCCGAGACGCTCTATCCCCGCCACCTGATGCTGCACCAGCTGCCCATGATTTGTGAGGGTACCGGATAGTCCGGTGCGAGAAGCCGGAATGAGCCAGGTCCTTCCCCTCCTGTCCTGCCTGTCGAGCTCCGCCGAACCAGAGACCTTCCTTTCTTCAACCTCACGCCGGTCCCAGGAATCTGTCATCTGAGACCATGGGAGACGCTGGTCTGGTTCGCCATGATCTTTCGAGTGAGGGCCTTCACTATCCCATTGTTCAGCTTCTGCCTGCTAGTCTACTGGTGGAATCCCGCCGCACTCACCATGATCCCGGCTGCATATCCCGAATATCCACCCGTGATCCAGGGGCTGTTCTTCACCGGCTTCCTGGTCGGAATGATCTTCGCCGAGATTTTCTGCTCGGGTTGACTCAGCGTCCACATTTGTGCCAAGCTGATGGCCAAGAACGACAATGTTCACGTGGCCGAAATGCGCCTATGGCTGGTCTATCCATCCTGTTTCTTAGCTTCCGGTGCGTGATGCGGCGAGCGAACGGCTATCGATCACCTGGCTAATGTTTCTGTTCAGGAGGCCTTTGTCTCTGGGGGATCAGTGTAGATCGAGGATATCACTGGATGGTGGGTCAAGTCGCCTTCTTCTTATGTCAGTATTCTCCCTGATTCCCCCCTCCCTCCCTTTTTCCCGACCGAAGACAGCTGACCGGATCTACGTGGCGCGGTTGCACAGTTGCTGTGGGCTTCCAGACGAGCAGCACGGTGCTGGTTGCCTATCTGGTCGATTCTTATCCCCTGCAGTCGACTGCTGTCATCGTCTCCTACTCGGTGGTGCTGAACATATCGGGATTTGCGAGCCCTGTACGTCTCCAACCCCGCATCCGGGATCTGGACCGTTTTTCTTTCGTGTCCAGGCAAACTATCGACTGCTAACCGGAGAACTGAAACGCGCGTCGTAGTTCTTTCTGCCAACGTGGGAAGCGGCCCAGGTTTGGACGTGGACCTATGCGACTCAGGCGCTGATCGTGAGCGTTGCCGCACTGCCGGTATTCTGTTTGACCCATATCTACGGTCCGTGGCTTCGATCGAAATCCTATCAGCCGCACTGGGTGAATGTGGATTTGGATACCACCGGGGTCCCGACTTAGCGAGCGTCGCGTTGTGTTCAACGGCCCCATCGCTGGCGCGCACAATTTCCTCAACCAGCACAGCTCAAGGCAAATTGACCAGTGAATCCCTACCTCCGGTAACCGGACTATCAATGACGTAATGCGTTAGCCCTGTCTGATTGTGGTGGATGACGGGGGGAGTGGGTTGGTTGGAGTCGCCTTACCCGGGCTGCAAGATAGTCTGCTCGCTCAGTTCGGCTAGGCGTTGTTCGAGTATGGATATTCGTTGTGATAATTGAACCTGGCATGTTGTCAAAGACACACATGAAGAGAGAACAATGGACATAACTGATAGCGATACATTCTCGGAGGTGGGCGTGCCTGCGGTGGCGCTTGGCGGATGCAGGTTATTATAGGTACCGGAATACGGCTCGTAGACACAGGTATACCTATTGCGACGACATTGAAAACAGACTGGCCGCTCCCCTGTGCACTTGGTTTTCCGTCGCCTGTGAATTAAGATTCAAGAGTCAAGTTACGTCCGTGCCAGTTTGTGCAGGTCCATACAGGTTGGGGTCACGTACCGGCAGTTAGAGCAGGCCTGGCGAATACGCTTTATAAGACTGCGCTGCAGGGGATCCGTGAGAGGATCCATCCCACAAGGACGGTGATGATGCGATTCATTATACAGAAACGGTAGCAGGTAGAAAGAAGTGATTGTGCTCTTTGAGAAGAATAGATTTGCTACTGATGCCACTGAGAATGGGCTGGGAGGAAAGGCATGGGGGAAGGGAGCGAAAGAAACCCCGGGGGTGCCTTCGAATGCAGGGAAATTGAAGGTCTTCCAAGGTCTGTGTTATTCCTTCCCATTCTTTCGGTCTTTGAGTGGCAGAGGCACACGTGTTTGTGTGTGCACATGTACAAATACACCAATTTAGACACACAGAACCAGTCACATTCCACTGTCCGAGGGGAAAGGGGGAGGGAGAGGGGGTGGGGGTAGCTCAATTGCAGATCGAATAACACCGTATCCCTAGATATACTGTATACTCTGTGTATATTCTATGTAGGTTGTTTTATTGTGATCATATTCGATCTCTCTGATTCAGGGAGAACCAACCGCGTAGTGACACCAGGAACTGCCAGGTGACGGCCGGAGGGTTACCGAACGGTGCGGCCCGCATCTCCGAATGCGGCTACACTGCCGCCGTACCTCGTACTATCTGTCCTACTACGGTAGCACTACCGCCTCACCTAACTTTCGTTACCTTTACCTGTTCAGTGCTCGTTGACCGAGGTGGGAGCGGAACCATTCCCCTCCAGTCCGGTCAGCAGGAGTCGTCTGCAATTGGGGGCGGCGATGCATCCAACGTGGGCAAGGGTTTCCAGAGCCCGAGGTGTAGGCAGCGCGGGAGCTGATAACTTACCTTATATCTATTGCATGAGGAGTCTGCTGTTTTGCTTCTTTTCGCCGTCCTCTGCCCCAAGGTCTTTTTCGCCTCAATCCTTTCCCTTTCTATCTCTTTATCCTCTCAGTCAGTATAGACCGATCGACGATTCGTGGCCATGACTGTCTCCCAGATTCGACCCGTGCGACTGTCTCCCGAGACAACGCGGCTGCTTGAGATTGATGCTCAATACTCGGCGGGCGGAGTGTTTCCCCTTCCCGTCCTCATCAAGTCGGGCAAAGGATCGGTAGGTAAGCTGCCGTGGATGCCCGGGGGGTTGGTAAGCCAATGCTAAATTGACGCACTTCCAGGATGTCGACGGAAAGGAGATCATTGACTTCCATCTGCATGCTGAGCGCAACCAACCTCGGCCAGTGCCAACCGCAGCTTCTGAAGGCTGTCAGTGACTCGATGCAGACCAGTATGTATACCTCCTGTTCCCCAATCGATCCTTGAGGCAAGGCACAGCAGGCTCATTTGGTGTGTGTGCGTGCGTGTATCAGTCACCCTGACGAACATCGCCACTAAGGTGGGCGATTGGGTCGAATTTACGCGAGACATGTGTCAGCGATTCGGATATGGGACAATGGTCGGCATGGTTTACAGTCAAGGTGCGTAATGCTCTCATTCCCCCCCGGAACCGATTTCTCATACCTTACCTTAAACAACTTAGAAGAGAGGAGAGCCTCAGTCTGCGTACTGTTATGAGAATCCATCGGTGCGGTGCCCCAGTGCTGGCCTCGTAAGCGGGGTCAATGGCACCGATCCATGCATGCAGAACGGGAAGAGGTGCGTGCGGATAAAATACCCAATCCGAGCTAAACGCACTGTTTATCCGAGGTCATGGGTTAGTACTTACTACGGACTTGGACTCACGGACCCCAGGCGTAGTGACCATCGAGTAAGTCATGCGGTGTAACGATAACACCCGCGCGCGGGGTAAAGACAATAATAGCCCCTCTGGAAGGCAGATCTGCCGCCACCGTCTTGCTGACGGGGAGTAGAAAAACCAGAACCCCTTCCTCTGTTCAATCCTCGTAACCACTGATTCCGTTTCGCGGCCGTATCCACCATGGCAACCAGCCTTGATCTGAAGTCCTCTTATGTGCAAATTGTCAATGGCCAAAGCGCTCCCACAGCCACAATTCGGCACGGCTTGAACCCTGCTAATGGTCAGGCACTACCGGAGGTTCCAGTGGCCACCGAGGCCGATCTTGATCGCGCAGTGCAGTGTGCCAAGGCCGCATTCAGAGGCTGGTCGGCGACTCCTTACGAACAGCGACGGAGAGCCGTGCTGGCCTTTGCCGATGCAATCGAAGAGAACTACACTGGGTTTCGAGAACTGCTGACTTTGGAGCAAGGAAAGCCGGTAAGTCCCCCCCCCACCCCAGTCACTTTCTCCCTGCTGCTCGATGGCTACCTTCTTTCGCTTGGATAGATCCCACAAGCAACCGCCGAGATGGACAATACCATCTCTTGGATGCGGGGGATGGCCGACCTGCAGCTTCCCGAGGAGGTCGCCCACGACGATGATTCTCACACGGTGATTACTCGATATGTGCCTCTGGGCGTGGTCGGCGCCATCGTGCCCTGGAATTTCCCCATGATGCTTGCCACGGGCAAGATCGCCCCCGCGCTCCTGACGGGAAACGTGATCATAGTGAAACCCTCGTGAGTTCTGATTTTCGGGGGATCACCGACCTCGACCTTGGCTGCTGACGCTGCCTTTTCTGCTCAACAGGCCTTTCACCCCGTATGGGGGGCTCAAGCTTGTGGAGTTGGCCCAGTCGTTCTTCCCTCCGGGAGTGGTGCAGTCTCTGAGCGGCGACGACAGTCTGGGTCCATGGATGACCAGCCACCCAGGCCTTGACAAGATCAGCTTCACCGGTTCCACCGCAACCGGTAAGCGGGTGCTGCGGAGTGCGAGTGACACCCTGAAAAGAGTCACCCTCGAGCTGTAGGGGTTCCTCCTCCATCATCCTCCATCATCCGTCACGCAAGACTAACGCAGAATTTCCAGCGGCGGCAATGACCCTGCCATTGTTTTCCCCGATGTCGACGTAGCGCGTACTGCGGAAAAGGTATGGATTATATGGATTACGCCCCCCTCCCTCCCCCCCTGAGACGGGCATTTCAGCGGAACCCGGTGACCTGACCGAGTAACCTTCCCCAGATTGCCTTTTTCGCCTTTCTCAACTCGGGCCAAATCTGCCTGAACATCAAGCGCATCTACGTCCACAAGTCAATCTTCGACGAATTCAAGGCCGCTCTCGTCCGCGCCGTGAACGCATTCTCGCTGGGAGACGGCTCCCAGCCGGGAATCACCCACGGTCCCCTCCAGAACGAGATGCAGTATTCCCGCGTCAAGACGTTCTTTGACGAGATCAAGACCGAGGGCTGGCAGGTCTGTGTGGGCGGTGCCATTGACCAACCTTCGACCGGTGGATATTTCCTTCCCCCCACCATCATCGACCGGCCGCCCGATTCGTCCCGCATTGTGGTGGATGAGCCCTTTGGTAAATTCATCAATTCCCATCCCCCCCCCACCCCCACCTGGACGCACGCACTGAATGACTGGTGTGGTGGATAGGTCCGATTGTGCCCCTTCTCTCGTGGGAGGAGGAATCCGAGGTCATCGAGCGGGCCAACAACAGCCTGCTGGGGTTGGGCGCCTCCGTCTGGACGGAGGATTTGACCCGCGCCGCCCGTGTTGCGCGCCAACTCGAGGCCGGAACGGTGTGGACAAATAATCATTTTGTTCTGTCCCCCGCGATCCCATTTAGCGGCCACAAAGAGAGTGGTCTGAGCGTCGAGTGGGGGCTCGCCGGGCTGAAGAGCTTCTGCAATGTCCAAAGTCTTTTCCTGCACAAAAAGCATGCATAAGCCCCCCGCCCCGGGGGCAACTTGAGCTTTGGTACTCGATGGTTGGGAAGGCATTGGAGCCCCGGAGATCGATGTGATGTACCTTTCCCGTTTGATTCGTTTGATATGCAATGATATATGCCTTTACGGGCTTGGGGTACTCCCCTCAGCTCCTTCATAATTCGCGTTTTTCTCTCTCTCGGCCTGGCCGGCGGAACGGGCTCGGGGCGAGAATAGTGACCAAAGACGGAAAAAAAGAAGACAGGCATTCACTATCTCCTAGAACAATGACATGACACGCCAAGTACTCCATTGCTACGCGTAGGGGTTTGTTTCTTAGTTCTGGTGGAAATTCCGTTCTTCAAATGCTTCGTATATTCGTATACACATGTGACCCAGCAATATAGGCCCACACACCAACAACCATACCACTAAGCATCCAATGCACACAGTTTCTGACACCCAATCTCCTCCAGCACATTCTTGCGAATCTTGCCACTTCCCAACAGAGGGAAATCCCTGGGCAGATCATCATCTCCAAGCCAGAAGACCCGGGTTGGAGCCTTCTGGTAACTCAAATTCAAGCGGACCCATGCAGCCAGCTCCTCAAGGGATGGCCGTTCAGTTCCTGGTTCCTGCTGAATGAAAGCCGCAACCACCTGGCCCAGGTAGTCGTCCGGCAGGCCCACCACACACGCCCCCTGCACGGAGGGATGCTCGCTCAGCCGATCCTCAATCTCCGTTGGATACAGGTTCTCTCCTCCTGTCACCCGGTTAGCATTACCCGACACCAGGAGCAGCGATGGGGGCGGGGCGTCTACCTCGGATGATAATGTCTTTGATGCGACCGGTCACAGAGCAGTTTCCCTCGCGGTCGAAAAATGCTTCGTCGCCCGTCCGCATCCACAGTGTCCCGTTCTCGTCCTGCACTATGGCCGCACGCGTCTTCTCGCCATTGTTGAAATATCCCTTCTGTACAAGGTAGCCCGAGACACAGAGCTCGCCGCGTTGTCCGACCGTCACGATCTCGCCCCTGCTGTCAACCACCTTGGCGCTCGTGTGAGGCAAAATCGCCAGGGAGCGTGGCATTCGGGTCGCATCCGCGTCTTCTGGTTTGGACATGAAGACAGCACCCGATGTCTCGGTCATTCCTGCATGAATCATAATGAGACATTGATGACATCGCCACCGGACATGGCCATACCGTATCCGAGTGAAAAGTCCTCGACACCAAGTTCATCCTTGATCTGAAGCCACAGTGCCTCTGAAGGAGCACTACCTCCTATGAGACCAGTTTTGAGCCGGATTGGGCATTTCATGGGCTGCGGGTGCCTGTGGCGAAGGACCGCAGCGAACATGGTCGGGACGCCATGCATTCCAGTGCACTTTTCTGCTGAGAGGCAATCGAGGGTGCGAGATGCACTGAAACTTGGCGCGGGGAATACGATGCAGGCTCCATGGACGACGCATGTCATGAGGCCGAGTATCAGGCCCCCGGAATGAAACAGGGGCAGTGGGTTGCAGATGATACTTTCCTCGGTCAGGGCCATGTGATTCCCTGCCAGAAAGGCATTGTTGATGATGTTCCTAATCAAGTCATTTACAATTATGCTCGCAAGTGAGCATTCAAGTTCGGTTCCAGGCTTAGAAAAAAAATGTTTTACTCACGCATGTGTCAACATAGCCACCTTGGGGACGCCGGTGGTCCCGCTCGTCAAGAGAAAGCTGCATACTGTGTCACCGCCAACCTCATCCTCGAGCTGACTGAGTCGCGGCGGGCTCACTGTATCCCCACTGACAAGAAATGTTGTCCAGGAAGTCAAGTAACTGCCATCTGGGTGATCGTCATGAACCAAGACAATGCGCTTCACCGATGGCACATCGACAGCCAGTGACATGTTGGATTCTTCAAGGTAGCTCAGAAAGGCACGCGAGCCTCTATTTCCCAGACCACTCGAGATGAACAGGGTAGAGCATTCTGCGACAAGCCTTCAGTATATCCTTCCCGGAATGACACTTGTCGTTATACGCACCGGTGGTCCGCAGCACATTCCGCGCTTCATTTGGGGTATACGTCCCGTGAAGCAAGACTGCCACCGCCCCGATCCTGGCAACCGCAAAGAAGATCTCCACGTAGACTTCGCAGTTTCCGAGGAAGATAGCAATCCGATCGCCGCGTTGAACCCCGCTGGCTATTAGGGCTCGCGCGATCTGCTTGGCCCGGATCTCGAGATCGTGGTAGGTCAATCGTGCCCCGGACTGGACTTCAACGACCGCTCGGCGGGAGTTGACTCGGTCGGCCTGTTGGCGGAGAAGCTGGCCAATTGTGCAGAGTTTCAGAGGGGGGTGTGAGGGTCCGTGGACGATTGATTTGGGCGCAGCTGTTGAAGACATGGTGCATAGATGCTAACGCGGGCGGTCGTTTGACTGTCATTGAGGAGAGTTGAAGGAAGAGGCTCTATTATAGCACTCGAAACCCGACCAGTGCGGCATGCGTGAAGAGCGCTGGGACCTCATTTGGGTGCAACCTTGCAACCGGAATCTCATGGACATAAGGTGGCCACTTGGTTTCCCCGTGACTGGGTGTGGCATTGGGCAAGAAGAGAAGGCGGGCTGTTCTACAGCGGGCGTGGCGAGTGGTACTGCAGCGTGGTTCTTGCGCGGCTGCTGTGGCCTGCCCTGCCTTCTCTCGCGCCTCGGCTTGAGTAATGGAAGACTGCGCTCAGGGACTCGTCTTTCAGGTGCGACCTTGAGATTGAATTCATTGGCTCCACGCTGAAATCTAATGCAATTTGGAAGCTGATCGACAACAAACTGTTTCCTCTTCGAGGTTAGGGGCAATCCCC